GGGGTATAGAGAGAAAAGCGCAAATACAGTGGTAAAATACCAACAGCCACATGGCTTCCTCCTCAAGAGACGCGAAATGACAGGTTTTGAAATTCAGACTAGGAACATATGTACCCCCCCCCCCACCCTAAGAGGACCTCAGTGAAGTGTCAATGTATTGAGCACAAAAGTACTAATTGAGGACACCATTGAGACGTTTCCTTTTGGAGATGGGACCACCTTTTTTTACGTGGTCATCCATGCCATGCAAAGGTCCAGTAGTTTGCAGTGCAAAGGTAGTACCTCCATTTCTCAGTTAATTTGGTACTTCAGTATTGATCCTGCCCTGGGAATTGAACCCACAACCTCCCACTCTGCAGTCAAGCACTCTACTGACTTAGCTAATCCTCCTGACGTAAGAGTATTCAACTGTATTTAATAATTAATTTCTTTAGATGAAGAAACATTGTATTTTATCTGAGATTTTGAACCTTAGGTTGGCTGCAAAGTAGCAATCTAAGACTTCTATACTTTTTTTCACCAGGGCTTATAGCAGATAAACTAGGTTCATATCAGTTTGCCTTCTACGCAGCTGGGTCATTGATTCTCATCAGTGGAGCTGTACAGTTTCTTCTTCTTTGCTTCAAGTCAACTGCTAAAGGTAAACAAACACAAAGGCAGCTTGTAACCATGGTAACTTCAGAGAAGCTTGGGAACATGACGGGCGAGTGCACAGATAATAAGGAATATTTAGCAAGTCTTTATGTGCAGTCTGCACTAGAAAAAAACAATGGAAAGACTCCTTTAGTTCAAGCTTTTAATTAGTGTTAATTCAATTCAATCTATTTAATATGGACAAGAAATGCATTATAATATTATTTACATATACCTGTACTTTACCATTATTTATATAACTAGGGTATCTAAAAGATAGTAATGCTGCGGCACATTCTGTTGATACTGGCATTAGTTAGGCAGTGGGACGTAAAAGAATCGAAAATGACATTGAATGTCCTATTTACATGTTGGAAAGTACTAGAATAATTACTATCAGTCTATATAAAGAACTCGTGGGAACGTTGTTTAGAAAATGATCAAGTGGTTATCAACTCTGGTTTTCCCACAGTAAATTGTAGGAAATGATAGAAATTCAGATTGTTTATCCATATATTTAATATAGGGTGTACTATCTTTTCTCTGGAAACATGATACTTTTCTTGCTGTTTATTGCACTTTATTAAGTAACAGTTATTTAGCTATATATTTATAGAAAACAACAACACAATAAACAGAAAAAAAAAGAAAGAAGGAAAAGAAGAGTTCGGTAGGACTCGAACCCGGCACCATCGGCACGACGCGACTACACCTCACCACTACACCACCGAGACTGAGAACATCATGTTGGTAAAAGTCTTTAATCTAATTCCTTTTCCCTGAAACTTCCGCCGGCAAGATGATCGCCAGCCGCATTAATCGAGCTATTAACAGCAAAAAGACAATGTAAACGCATATTCCATGGCAATGAATGAATGAAAGAACATAATTATGCTTTTCAAAACACCGATACACCTCCTCATCTGCAACGTAGGGCACAAAACATATGTTTTGTTATCTCGATTTCCGCTGTTATTTTGAAGCGAATGGTCAAAATCACATCCATTTTTGGCTCATACAGGTTCTTAAGAATAGCATGGCATGACATTTTCTCACTTTCACATCACCTTCTAACAAGCTGGAATTTGTATATCCTCCGTGTTGCGGAGTCGAAGAGCAAATACTCATCTTCTCGTCAGGTTTAACACCTGGACGAGTCACAGGCTCTTGAATTGAAATCCACTCCCCAAGTTAACCATCGTACTCATCTGAAAGACTCCTGCGTGTCTTAAATTTGGTAAGACCTCGAACCGTGCTGTAGAAAATTTGCTACAAAGAAAACTCTGAGTCTGGGCAGCGAACTATGCGAACTTCCCCGTGTTTTTATTTGAGTTGTTGGTGGCGCAATGCACTCTGGTTAAATGCAATGCATTGTGGTAAAAAGTGATGAATTCGAGAATTCGTCGCCCCTTATATATTTTCTTTAAATTCTGATTATGTTGCTGCTCGCTCCCTTCGGTCGCTCCGCAGCAAAAACTATTACTAGAAATGAGTCATTAGATTTTTGAATGGCCATTCAGTTATTTATCATGCTTAGCATAGACAGTCCTGTCCCATTATCACAGGAAAAAATAACGGATTCCCATTTTTGGATATTTTTGGGTAAAAATCCCAAATTTGGCAAAGTGAGACAAGTCCCAACCAGGGAATTCCCAACCAAGTTCCCTGATTGGGACTTGTCTCACTCTTCCAAATTTGGGATTTTTGTGGGTATTCTTTAAATACCCAAAAATGTCCAAAAATGGGAATCAGTTATTTTTTCCTGTGATTATGGGTTTCAATTGTTAGAATTTTATGGGGAATTACTTGGAAATAAATGGCTTGATAATAATAATAATAATATTATAATACCATGAATTAAAGTACTAGTAGTATAAAAATGTTATTTTGTATTTAATTTCATTTGAAGAAACAGCGCAATAACCTTTCTGGTAAATTACTTAATATAATTATAAAAATATCATTATTTGTTCGGAATCCATCATTACAACTGGCCCCATAATACATTTTTTTGGTTTTTAAATAGACATTAATTTTTTGACAATAATCTCATTTGATAAAATAGCAGAATCAATAACAATTTTATTATTTGTCTATAATAATCAGTTTGAAAATTTTCAAAATTATCTCTGACCTCTCTCTTAAATGAATTTTAAATCATAATACTTTTTTATACTATACACACAAGTCTCTTTAGTGTAGACACCCAAGGTGCAGAGCCAAGTGACTGTTTTACAGACTGAGGTATATTGTAGAGGTATTAAAGCAATGTATGAAGATTAGTACCGTAAAGTTCCAAAAATAAGCCCCTCCATGTATAAGCCCCCCAAGCTCGTAATGCAAAAAACCCTCCGTTAAATCGCTCCTCCAAATATAAGCCCCCCAGGGGCTTGTTAACTTGGAAATTGGCCCCAAATACAAAGTAAAACAAAGCAAAAACGGTAAATTTCCTTCCAACTATAAAGCTAGCCCAATCGATTTTGAAATGCAAATTTCCCTCCATAGATAAGCCCCTCCGAATATAAGCCCCTCAAAAAGGGTCTTTGAAAAATATAAGCCCCAGGGCTTATTTTCGGAGTTTTATGGTATCTCTTAAAAGGGTTTGTATTAATTAAAAAGAGGTTTTCCAAAAGGAGAGGTTTGACTGGCTAAATTTGGCAGAGTTAACTCCATGCTTTTTTATTCTCAAACATGGGCTTTTGTTTGTAGATTTAATTTAATGGAATAAATAAACTGTTAGGACAGTACAAAGGCTCGTCATCATGTTATGGCCCATTGATTAGCTTAAATTGCTGGGCCAATGTCCTGGCATTTCCAAATGATATTAAAATGCTGTCAAATGCCATGTCCTTTGGGTGTCAACCCATAGCAAAAGCAGTTTCCAGGGTGCCAACCCATATGTCTGATCTTAATATATCTGATAACTGCTGAGGGACAAAAACAATGCCCTATACCCAGACAAATTGCCAAGCTTGCACAATGGAAACAGTGGGAGAAAGTTTTGTGGCCTGTACAGCAGTCAGCATATCATGTCGGGGGCAGAGCAACTTGTCCAACAGTTTCAATTTTGATCAATTCCTTGGACTTCCAGAATGTTTATTGTGTATAATTATGTCCCACCACCAAAGCCAGACAAATTTCCTTGCAGGAAAAAAAAACAGTCGAAGAATGATGATGATGATTATGATGGTCTCTAAATGATAATTCTTTGTTCTAATCCAAAAGTGATTGTTAGAGGCCTGTTTCTCTCTCTGCTCTGTTGAAATGTTCTTTAGTATCAATACAGTGAAGGGTCTCAGGCTGTGTTGATTTTCTGTCGCAAACAAGAAGAAGAAGTATTGCTGCTGATGCAAAAATAGTCACTGCAGAAAAAATAAGAGATGGGATGTAGGAATGGAGACGATCTGTCATGAAACCTGAGGAAAACAAAAGAACAAGTTAAAGGTCATTGTTTTCAGCAGAATTTGCCAGGAGGTTGGTGACCAGAGTATAAAATCACCAACAACCTAACTAGCTTTATTGCATTTAAACTATGTGGCCTGTTTTGTACAGTTATGTAGTCATGATGGTTAAGAAGTGTTTTACCATGTACATGTTCTTAGGGGTTCCTTGTGCATTCATGCGCCACAAACATCTGCTGAAACGAGTGGTTAAATTCCTTTCCTATTGTTTGCAAATATCAGTTGGAGCTCACGTGCTGACTATCGGAGAACCAATCGGCGCTGTTGAAGTCACAGTGTTGACAAGCCAAACACAATGTACAAGTTTGGTAGAGTGTGATAAGTGACCCAGGAATGCATGACGTACCCCTAACAAAGTCCACGTGGGAGGCTAAAAACACCTTAAATTTTGGACTTTGGTTCAGAAGGTCCAGGATCAAGCCTTGGCATTGTACATTGTTTCCTTAGACAAGAAACTCTGCTCACTTTGTGAACTGAGTTTTTCCATGAACGATTAGTACAAATCTAGGGTTACTTAACATGTACTGCATGGTAGCCTGTTACAGGTGTTCAGATAGTGGGGGTGGCACAAAGAAAATTGAGCAGATAAAACCATCTGAACACCTGGGACAGCCTGTGGGATTATTTTTATGATATTGCCTTATAGCTGAACAGTATTTACCCCGAAATCAGAGACCCTTCAATCTTCCTAGATAAGTTGGGAAGTATGTACACTGAAGGATGATAAAAGGGCCTCTGCTTGCAGGGTGAACAGAATTTGACTCCTAAATAATTAAAATATTAGGAGCTCCTTAAAGCTACTGATTTCAAATGTTATGGGGGTCATAACTACATGACTGTATTATAACTGTTAAATTGTGGTATTACTGATTCAGTTACTTCTGCAGCTTGGTCAGTCTCTATCTTTAACCGATACCTACCTGCTAGCGCTGGACCAGTTGCCATGGTAGTACCATAACAAAGAGAACTTAAACCCATGGCTGATGCTTTCAAGCTTGGACCTACTGACATCAATATTTGAATGTAAAAGGTACCTCCTAGAACTCCATCTGCCAAACCAAACAGAAATGAAAAGGCTACCAGGTGTCCATAAGTTTTTGCTTGTGCAAGAAAAATGATATCACATCCATCAAGAATAAGGCTACCCATGTAAACATAAACTGGGTTTACACATCGCATGTTACATAACAATCCACTCAGTAGACGACCGATGAATGTGGTGACCCCAATGTAAATAAACAGTCTGGATGCTGCATCAGCTGAAACATTAAGACCCTCTGAAAATCTAACCTGCAAAAGAATAGTGTCATAAAGCCATATGTTGTTCAGCAAACTGTGTCGATACAATAGTGGCTATACCACCATAACATAAAGATTATAACATTTCTTTGCAGGAATTAGGCTCAGTTATCGGACAAGTTTCACTTCAGCTCAAAGTTGTTTAGCATGATTTTTCGGTATTTGGATACTGGATAAATAATTGCACAATAAATCTAAGATTAATGTGTAATTCAAACTCAGAAGCATGAGCCCTGCTACTTCCTGGCTATTAGCACTAGCCAGCATTTTCCTAGACCATTAGTTATTGTGATCAAATTTGTCACTCTTTTACTTTTAAATCTGTCAGCAAAATCCTCAAATGAACCCCTTTGGCAGGACTTTGTGTATTATGGTGCTTATTCATTTCTTTGGATCTCACGCCCTCATTTTGAGGCAAGTGGTGTTTTCACTTTCCACTTATCTTTTTGTGCAGTGTGATGGTGCCAGTGGAAGTTGAAGAAGGAGGAAAATGCCATTCCCTTCTCTCTCCCTTGCATTTTTTATGTACCCGTGCATCCATGTTAACTCCAATAAGCGTGGCGACCCTTACTAAATTTTTCTCGCCTCAAATGTGGCACGTATTTGAGAGAGGTGTTTATTTGAAAGTTGGACACAACAGAAAATTGTTTTCACTAGGGCTTCATTGCTTTCTCTATTAAACTTAAGGATATAACATCTTTGGATTTTGATTCTTTCAAGGCCACAGAGCTTAATTTTGGGGTGGTGCTTACAATAATAAATTATTATTGCATTACCCTTTTTTCCAAAATGTGGGCAGCACTTTTCAGTGGTGGCACTTATTCAAGTAACTATAGTAGTGCTTTTCACACACCCTTGCCCTTCCCTTTTGAATGTCTGCCTCTCAGGCTAAATGGAATCATCCAGTTAATGAATGTACCCTGTTTTTATGATCACTCCTTCTGTCTCGCCTAAAAAAATTGGTTCACCTCCCTTTTCTACATACAGCCACGATAAAAACAGATGAATACATGGATATGAGTAGACAAGTGAGAAAAGCAAGTAACCGCTTGCAATCTGACAAACAACAATGATTGACATTGTTTTATTAAAGTCATTGAACACTGCATGATTGACTGTTCAAGAAGTAATATCCAGTAATTTATAGTCAGATTTAAATCATGTATCATCACATAGTCTATATTGAAGGCTTTAAAAGTAAACTAATGTGATACCTCTCCAAAACAGTGACATACCATAAAATTCCAAAAATAAGCCCCTCCATGTATAAGCCCCCAAACAGAACTTAAAAACCCTCCGTTAAAGCACCTCAAAAAAAGGGCCCCAGGGGCTTTTGAAATTGGCCTCAAATAAGCCCCGAGGCTTATTTTGAAACGGAATTTTCCATAGGTAATAGCCCTCCGAATAAACTTAACAAAAACAAGCACCTCAAAAAGGGCCTTTGAAAAATATAAGCCCCGAGGCTTATTTTCGGAATTTTATGGTACTAGTAAAACTTAACCTGCGTGTACATGGCCAGATATTTATGCGCAGGGTACTTTCTCGATCTGCAGAGCTACGTGGGATTTCTTGTTCTCAAACTTCTTGTGGCTCTGCCGCCAAAAAACAACAGCACTCCTCCACTAATCCTGCCAGCTATGCAAGGCTAACTAAAAACTTACCAAGTGAAGTCGTGGAGTGTTATGTCCAAGGTTGTAGAGAATAGCACTAAGAGTCAATACCACAAACCGCTTATTCTTGAAAACAGAGCAGTCAACAAACCATCTTTTCTTCTTTACATCATTCTTCTCTTGCAAATTTTCGGATTCTATGTTTTCCTCTTCACCCTCTCTTTCTTCTCTACTAGTCTTAACCATGGTAGGATCAAATGTCAAACAAAGAAAACAAACAACTGAAAAGATTCCAGCAGTAATGCGATATGTCTTCCTCCAGTGAAAATTGTCTAGTAATACTTGAAGAATGGGTGCCACTGCAAGTACACCAATTCCACTTCCAGATGCAATTATACCAGTTGCTATGGATTGCCTCTTGTTAAAGTATAAGGATGTCACCACATAACATGAAACAAACATGCAGCTGCTTCCAAACCCAAAGAGGATGCTGTAAGTTACATACAAGATGGCAATACTTGTCGCAAGAGATGAGAGCAAGAGGCCACTGACGCATGATATCCCACCCACAAATGCAGTAATGCGACAACCAAATCGATCCACCAATGATCCAGTCAATGGGCCAAGGGAGAATATAAAAGCTAATCCAACTGAACCAACCCAGGCTGGAAGAGAACAAAACAGTCTTAATCATTGTGCTGTTACAGTTTCGGGGTACAGTCAAACCTGTATTATGCAACCCTCTTTTACTCGGTCACCCTCCATTAGGTTGTCACTTGCAATAGTCCCAGAAATAATTTCCCTTAATTACTGTAAAACTGACCTATTAAGCAATCGCAGTCACCTTTTTTGATGTCCCAATGAGTTATTTTTTATTATCTTCACCTCTATAAGCGATCACTTTGGCAAGATGTATCATACTCGAGTGCATCAGACACACTGTGTATGGCAATAAGTGGTTCTGTCATGGGATAGAGATTTCTCTCTTTCGCCATCTTCACTTTCTTGAATAATAATTCTTGGTAGGAAGCCATTCCCAAAAAAGGGTAACCGCTTATACACAGCTGACTACAGGTTTAATTTGACTGTAGTTGTATTTATTTATTTACCACAACCCTGTAAATGTAAGTGTGAAGGCATGCATGGTGGCCAGCCTGTTGACACACTGCACTCAAATTGGACCTGTTGATCTGGATGTAAATATTGTGGTTCAATTTTCAAAATGAAGAAATGATCGTCGCAGTGAACGCAATTTATGCAATTGCGTAAAGAAGAATGAAAAAAATTCAGGACTTCACTGGCGTTTGAACCCGTGACCTCGCGATACTGGTGCGAAGCTCTACCAACTGAGCTATGAAGCCACTGACATTGGGAGCAGGTCAATTGTGGTTTCATATGTTCCCGTGAAAGAAATGAGTGTTAATGATATATGAAATGAATCATGTATGAACGGCGGAAATGAAATGAAAATGAAGAAATGGTCATCGCAGTGAACGCGATTTATGCAATTGCATAAAGAAGCCCGAAAAAAATTCAAGACTTCAAAGGGGTTTGAGCCCGTGACCGTGCGATACCGGTGCGATGCTCTACCAACTGAGCTATGAAGCCACTGACTTGGTTAATTGGTTTAAATTCTATTTTCCTTTGTTTCAAACTCATTATCGAACATTACCATGCCCCAAAACAAAGGAAAATAAAATTTAAACCAAGGATAAAATTGAACAACATAAGCATTGATACCATCGCGTTGAGTGATCCCATATATGGATAAATTCTTAACTTAAAATCGCTTATTACGTGCTTCTTTGACTTAAAACACGCTTGATAGTGGATACACGTCATATCCCTCCTAAGTGGGCTTGTCCTGTGGATTTTCCGCCGAACACATATACAATGGCTTCCGCCTTGGAAAGAAAGATACACGAACATTGCAGAAACAACAACCAAGAAACAGCAGATCGAGATGGTATAATAACTAATTACTTGCCTGTCCTTTCGCGTGTTTCGTGAAAGTAGTCCATCAACACAGGGAAGAGAATTCCAAAATTTAGAGCGGTTCCAAGAGTTAAAGCTATGATGAAAAAGGCACAGAAACAAACAAGCCAAGAAAACGGGCTGTCTGCCTCCTTTCTAGACCTTAAACCTGTGCAGAAAGCTCCACAAAATGCCATCACACTACTTGCCTCCTGTAGAAGTCAGTAGACAGTCAATCTTTGCGCCGTCCCACCATGTTCCCACAAACGAGCAATTGCGTGACACAAAGAACGCTCCCGGGGGTGGGGGCACAGGCCAAGAAAGAGGGCCCTCTTATTTGGCCAAACTGTGAATCCGGGTATGGTTTTCAGGGTCCTGTTGGACCGCAAGTCCGTGAAGGTTGGCGATGAACGGTCTAAATATTGTGGTGTAAAAAATGTAATTCCTGGTTCTTTGATAAGAATTAACACGCAAACTGCGGTAAAAATTATTATTAAAAATCATACTTAAAAATGTTATATTTTTCCAGCTGTGCGTTTTTAATTTCCCTTTTGTTTATAACCGCAGTTTGCGTGTTATTTCCCATCAAGCTACGAAAGTTCAACCAGAAGGTTACCCTTCAGAAGTTTCTTTTTTTCTTATCTAATTCCGGACAGTTTGCGACAGCGAGGCGCGAAGCAGGGTCGTAACATGGTATATTCGGGACCCATTGATCCCTATTTTCTTGCTGTTATTTTGATCCCTGAGCCCCATTTTCCCCAAAATTTTGATCCCTGAGTCCTGATAAAAAAATTGATCCCATCCATGTTTTTACACAAAATTTTAACTTAGACAACTTTGTTTATCTCCAAATATAGAATATAAAACATGCTCAAATGGGCTGAAGAGAAAAACATTAACTTTAATTTTTAGTGCAAGTTGTAGGTTCTATCAGAGCTTTAAAGATCAATATGAGTCAACCCCTTTTTGTGCATTATTCTATTTAAAACACTTTAAATGTAATGTTTGGCGATACTAGGCAAATGATAAAACCTGATTTTCTTGAACGGGAGCGTTAGTAAGACACAGAATGTAAGTTATTGTTAATTTATACATTAAAAGTAGTCCACTTCCCTTTAAGTATCGTACATCTTGACAGATCTTGCGGCGGAAACTTGATTTTTTCAGACGTTGATCAAGAGTATCTATAGGTTTTTTTTCAGTGTTGCTCATACAAGCAAGGCCACCCGGAGGTTTATAAGCCAATCACAAGAAAGCATTGGATTCAAAATTCGAATAAATACATTTTTAGTCAAACAGCAAACACAGCTAGCGCTGGTTACCACCTTAGATTTGGAATCTGAATTTTTTAGTGGAGTGAGAACACCCGCTCTGAACGACTACGCATCGCGGCGGCCCAGCTGCCTTTTAGAATCAATAGAGTCAGGCTCTACCAATCCTCGTTTATCTTTTATACCGGTCCTCAAAGCCATTACACACAGAGAAAGGTGGGTCCAAAGGCACCGGAGTGGCTTCGAAAGTCGCACGGCAATAGTAAACCTTAAGGAGGATATGGATGAGGAAACGAGGGCGGAGGGAAAGGAGCGACAAAGGAAGGCATTGCAGAGCTTTGCGAAGAATTCGGATGGGGTGCACGACAGCAACGAACGAGAGGGAAGACCAAAGAAAGAGCTGGTACACTTCCACTTGCTCTGAGTATGTTCAGAAGGAATGCGTCGGCACATGGAGAAGTCGATCTGCTGAAAGAGGTTTAAGGGAGTGAAGGACAAACTACAGTTCAGGACGCAGCTCTCAAGCACAATTACAAGCGGTATATCATTTCTTTCTTCCTTGTAGTTCTTTTAAAAGATCTCCACCATAACGGTGACGCATTCCTGGAAGATCACATGGGTTTGAGATGGCTGGAACAGTCAGAAGAAGATCCCCTTGTATACCAGACTGGGCACCGTAACAATAGAAATTCACCTGAGTGTATATCATCGGGAAAGTTCAAATAATAAAAGATGGAAACAACTTCTGTTTGAGCTGCTTTGAACAGCAACGCCTAGTTGCATTGTTCCAGGGGTCAGTTGAATCAGAAGATTCACCTGCGTCAGGTGGTGACGAAGAGGAAGGGGAGCAAGCTCAGGCGGACAACGTTTCAGAGCCAATTAGATTTGAAGCTGGAAGGAGTAAGTCTGGAAGACCTACAACCAGATATGTCCTCTGACAATCTACAATGGTTATTAAGCCAGGAAAACCTGTTAAACTGTAGAACCTGTGGCTTGCATCATTTAATTTTTCTACTTCGTGTAAAGAAGGTATTTTGCTATTGGTAACTGATCGTGATCCTCACTGTAACACACACAGAGTGAAAGAGGAAATTCACATAAAATTACACTCTAACAACATCAACAGGGATAGCAGAATAGAAAGTCTAGAAGCTTGGTTGCCCTTAATCAAGAAACACAGCAATAGGAGATCCCTACGACAGCGGACCAGTGAGGCAAAAGTTTATTCAAACAACGGAATAAGAAATGCACCAATCTCAGCGGCTAATAATCGACCAACCAGAACCAGAGCTTGGAGTCATATAAGTTCACGTGTGACCAGTCGACGAAGACTAGCAAGGCAAGGTCTTTAAGTGTTGCTTTTTCTAATGAACACTTGAAGTACGCGGTTGAAACGTCGCGATCTACATCATTAAGTGACTGAATCGTGAGACAAACGATTAGACTTTATTAACATCAATATTGTAGACCAGTAACACGGCCGACGTGAAATTTTTGGTTGCAAGAGTCTCTTTGGAAATAAAACATTTGTGACCCACACAGATCGGACATTGATTAACTGGACAAGCTATCCGGGCAAGCAGATGTTCGTACGGGACAGGAATTGGAAAGCTAGAGGAAGACCTTAGTTCAGAAGTACCTTACAGTGCGATACCTTTCGGGGCCAACCATTACATAAGCCGAGGCCGAATAGCCCAAAGGGCCGAAAAAATTCTTGTAGATCAATATTGTCACTAAAGTTTGTAAATTTTGTGCAAAAAAAAATAGCCACTGCAGGAATGAGGTCTGAAAAAATCTTGCTTGAAAAAAAAAAAAACCATCCCCGGCTCAAAAATCGAATAGTGGGCCCCTTACTGGTGGCCCTTCATGCTGAGTGCTATAATATATTAAATTCCTGCAGCCTCTGCTACTTGTACCTAGTAACATTCCTTTCACCAATTTAACCGTTTATTTTATAAAAAAAACTAAAGAAAATAAACCATTAAGGCTTTGTTACTTTTATTTCAACCGAGGTAAGTCTTTGGTGTTCCACTTATTTTCACTAATTCTACAATGTAATTTCAGATTATTTATCATAATAGCATTTATCAGTTATACAGTAATAGAATGTGTCCTTTACTTTCCCGGCCCAATACTAGTACTGATAGGTGAACCGATCTCGGTTTCTCATCAGCGTTCGACTCGATAACCCTAAAACTCCATGCAATTATAGCACTGAGATTTATTAAATTGCGAGAAAACATTTATTTTGCAACAAAGCGCGCAAATTCATTGTACTTGTATTCTAATTTTGACGTCCATTTTAATTATTTAAGTACTTTTAAGGGTTAAGTAACTGGTCAAAAATACGAACCTCGATTTATAGTCGCCTTGTGACTTGATTGAGGCGATGAGGCAATCGGGACCTATACTGTAAATTCCGCTTTCAATGAATCGGTTTGTCTATTGTCCTGTATTGTTATGTTTGATCGGCCGAAAAACTCTATGCTTTGACCCTTGCCAGGAGTAAATCAGTCAAGGAAGTACTTACGTACCTTTCTCTGTCACAGGTTTTCTTTTTGTCCTTTTTCTTCTTCCCCATTTCTTGCAAAAAAAGATATGACTGTATAAATCGCTTTCTCTGCCTTTTGGCGTTGACAGCGCGTTGAGGAGTTGCGTTACAAAGCGAGAAAAGTGACTTGAGATTCATATTACAGTGCCCTCAACAATTAAATAAATTAAGAATATGATACCATGTTTTCGTCAAACAACCAGGACTTCGTATGACAGGAACTGCCGCCAGCCGGAAGCAAGAATAGGTAATGTACCTTGGCCAGAAAATTCTATGGACAGAAACCTTATTATGCGGAAAAATATTGTGATAAGAGATTTTTAGACCGTGTAATAAATCTGATCCCTGATTCGGGCTCAAAAGCCTTGTGATCCCTGATCCCATTCCTCTGAGCCCTGATCCCAGTCATATTTTGGGCTTTGAGCCCTGAGCCCATATACCATGTTACGACCCTGGCGAAGCGCCGAGAGAGAAAAATAACCGCCCTTCTTGGAAGCTTTACCAACCGTAGGCACGGTTTATTTCATTCTAGGTATTTCGAGAACGGACCTCAGCTCTAGCGTGCTCCAGGCGTTCAGATCGTGGGGACGGCGCAAAGAGGTGTGAGCAGAAAAAAAACAAGGGGGTGGGGTAGGGGTGAGAGAAATTCCCTCTTTTCCTCCTTATTTTTTTCTCGCTCTCTTCCTTCGCGAAGCACTCCACTATCCGAACGTTTGGAACAGGCTACCTCAGGGCTGGAGCCAGGGTACAAAGTACATGGCCCAGTAGTGAGCAGTTACGGCTCAGTCAATTCCAAGTGTACCCATCGCCCCCCGGGCATTTGTTGGGCATTTGTCATCTTGTCTGTCCAGGTGGTGGGGATTTGTCAGAAAACCACTTCCCGGGGCTGGGGCATTGGTCATTTCTTCTAGAGGCGGTTAACGTCGTTCCATTTCCAATATTTCACCAAAATATATAAATTTAGAAAGCTTTAATGCACCTAGCAATGGTTCCGGGGGTTGCCCCGGGGGGATGGTAACAGGTCAAATTGAAGTACGCATAAATAAGACTTTTAATTTGAGCGGTGGCGGGGGGGGGAGGGTTGGGCACGTGTGATTTAAAGAAAGCTCCATAGTGCAAATTTGTCCTATGACTGTTGTCCATGATTGTAGGGCAGAATCACGTTTCGCAACAGTCCACAGCCTTTGACTGACGCGCTATCCTTGAGCTTGCTCGGATGTGTTCCGTTTTCGCAGATTTCATGACTGTAGACATATAAATGGATAAATCAGAATGACGTTGATCCTCTTGAAAGATACCGCTGACAAAAGTGATTCCAAAACTGATTCTTGAGGGCAGCATTAATCACTCCTTTTCTGCGGTCTCGCCAGGAAACCCAATTTTACTCTGTTGTCCATTAGTAACACCCTCATTGTTCTCCTCTACTTCACACAGTTGGCTGTCACCTTGATTACAATCTATAGGCCAGCGACTTCTTGATGTTTCTTTAGCACAAATAATAACAAAAAGCAAGGCCGCAGCAAGAAATTCTACAACCGCACACAAGATAAAAGATGGTACGTAAGTGTTCAGACGATCCGCCATAAAACCTACAAAGTACAAAAGAGATTGTCAAAATAGTTTTAATATGGCTCAGTCGATCCAAAGCGTGTTCAATCCCCCGGGCAATTGTTACTTTGTCTCAAGAAAGCTGCAAATGCTCCACGGTGTCGCTAGTAGTTTCAGATACAAAGAACATGTATCGGGGCAAGTCGTCAACAGCTCAAAGCATGTATCGCCAGTTGATGATATTGAACTCTTGCTATTGACATGATTAGTCAATCAGTAAGTCGTGATGTTATGGGCTTCTACCAGTCAAGCCGTGGTGTCATTAACGGCTAAATTTGATTCAGAAAGACTGTAAAACAGTCTCTTTCTTTAATTAAAAAACGGTCTATTCAGAGCATACTACCCCCGTGCCCTGCCAAAGGTAGCCTGCATCGCAGATGTAATTTCACCCCGGTTAGTAACGTCTGCGACCTTACGCAGCACCGGTATCATTGTTCTGAGCCCCCAACGGACTCAAAGAATTACCGGAAATGTGTTTCGAATTTTTCCTTTCATCTTGATTGGCAAATCAACAATGGCTTATTTAAAAGGCCAATCATGACGCGTACTCAAATCCTGGTATGCAGCTGAGGGCCCAGAACAAGGATTTCAGCGCTGTTTCACAGACTGACTTAACCAAAGTTTATTGTCGTCTGTGGCGCAGGCCATACCAGGGGTGGACAAGAAAATTCAGAAAAGGGGAGAACACATGTGTTGCCATTCACAGAAAAAGGGGGCAGGGTGGCCCAGCCCTAATCCACCACCCATGTCGACCAACCTAACAATAAAGCTGTTCCTAACAATAAAGCTCTTTTGCAGACTATCCAATCAGAAGCATTATTTTGTTCTAAGTACCTGCCAATGGAGGGCCAGTTGCTGTAGTAATTCCATAAAACAATGCGCTTACACCAAATGCTGATGCCCTCTTGCTTGGCTCCACGCAGTAGAGTATTAAAATATTAAAGGTACCTATGATAAAACCATCTGCCAGACCATAAAGAAAGGAGAATACGATGAGATGTCCATAGTTCTTAGCTTGGGAGAGAAAGATAACCGATGAGCCATCTAGAATGAAACCAAACATGAACACATAAAATGAGTTTACACAACGCATGTTGCAAAGAATTCCACTGAGCAGACGACTGATGAATGTTGTAATGCCAATATAAATAAAAAGCCTTGATGCAGAGTCAGCTGATATCCCTAGATCTTCAGCAAATTTCACCTGCAAAATTATCATTGGAAAATGTCATCAGTTGTATAACTATTGTCACTACTCTCTACAATTTCTAGACACATTAATGCGGGGACTCTGTTTCACACAAACCCTTTACAGTCAACTTTAGTCATTGCAGAAAATATTTGGATGGACTGGATGAACTAGTAAATGGCAGTGGTAGAGATCAGGGTGGCAAAGGGGTTTTCTATGACATGCGATGGGTCCCAAATTATCAGTGAGATGCATGATCAGGCCCAAATTAGCCGTATGAGGTGTGATTTACTATTTTCATAACCTGTGACACGTGATTTTCATTTTGGATTTCCGTGATTGGTAAATATCACTTGAAACTAGAAGCACGGCCAAAAAAAAAAGCGATAGTAATGACATCATTTTCTGGTCCATTTTCTCATTCCTCCAGTCTGAATACTGGTCAATCTACCGGTAGTTAATGTTTGAACAACACCAGATTTCACAGAACCCTTTTGTACAATTAACAGTTATTTCAATTTACTGTTAATGGGCCATCCTACTAAAAGAGGATGCTGAAAACAATATTTATTAGACCTGATTACAATGCAATTACAATTGGCATCTTAACTTTCTGCAATTGCACCTCATTTGCTAAGGCCCTGCCAGGGAAAATTCCAACAAGCGACAAGGCCCAAAAAGTAGCGACAGCACGTAAAACGAAATCGCCACAAGAGACAACCCCCCGCAGCCAAATTACGACAGTGACAGCAAAGCCGACAATAAGCGACAAGCATTTATAAACACCAACACGAGACATTTTAAAATTCAGATGGGCGACATAGGACCCCCCCTGGCAGGGCCTCTTTACTAGTAAGTTATGCATGATGGCTATTGTTTTCCCCATGATGTGTTGGCTTTAAAAAAGTGATGCATGATAGGTACTCACCCCCACCCACTTTACCACCATAAGAGATGGTCGTTAGAGATGTGGAAGAACAAACTTAAATTAACAGAAAACAAAAGACAGGGTTTTCGAAAATTTTGAAGTAGACGGCTGAGTTGTCAAAATAAGCAGCCAGTCTAGAGATTTTTTTTTTACAAAACGTCATCCGTAAAGAAATGCCAAGCAGATTAGCCAGCCGAAACTAACCAAGTAGGCCGGCGATTTTCGTCATCAGCTGGCTACTTTTGACAGCCCTGCAAAAGAAATGATTTTTACTTTTGAGTGTCCAAAAATGCAGCTTGTTGTTCAATTATAATTGTATCATTGTGCTGTCAGGACCAAAAAATCTTTCTTTAAGTCTGTCGTAGTCAGAGTTTGTAGTTGAACCTCATTAACTTTGATGGGGATTATAACCGCTGTCCTTGTTCAAGTCCTGTCATTTTGAAGAGAGAATAAATGGAACTTGTGTCAAATGGAACACGTTCTTACCCCGATAGACAAATAATCCATCAAAATAAAATTTCCACATTTTTTGGTTAATGAAAAATGCCCCTAGTGTCAAATTCCCTTTTTGTTTCCAAAGGAAAAAAGAGCAATTTCAAAAGAGAATCTAGCAGTTTATCACAAGTCACTAACAGCTTTTTTCTATACACCCCTGGCACTTGCAAGCTCAGAGTTATAAGAGTGCAAGTAGACTTTACTTACCAAATGTAATCTTGGAGCATGTTGTCCCAAAAATGCTACTGTGTAAGCTAGTGTTAATACAACAAATGTCTTTTCCTTAAATATAGAGAAATTCAGCAATTTTTTCTGTATTTTTTCTTTACCATCATTTTTTGCATGATTCACTGCTAAATTTTCTGTTTCTCCTTCCCCATCCTGTTCTGTTTCTTTCCCTTTTCTCTTCAGTACCGCAGGATCAAAAGTCAAACACAATAAACAAACAACTGAAAAGATTCCTGCCATGATCCGATATGTTTTTCTCCAATCATAATTATCAAGTAAGGCTTGAAGGAGCGGTGCAACAACTAACACTCCTGTTCCAGTTCCTGAGGCCACAATACCAGTTGCTATGGCTTTCCTCTTATCAAAGTACAACGAGATCACCACATAGCTGGAAACAAAGAGACAGCTACTTCCAAACCCAAATGGAATACTGTACGTCACATACATAAGAGCAATACTTGAAGGAAGAGATGACAGTAGTAAGCTGGCAACACATGTTATTGCTCCTGTCAGAGCAGTTCGACGGCAGCCAAATCGATTAACCAACATGCTGGTGACAGGTCCAAGGGCAAATATACAAGCTATTCCAACAGAGCCAACCCAGGCTGTGAAAGAAAAGCAATTTTTAAATCTCTGTGACCAGCAAAGAACAGTATTAATGTCTCTTTAACACAGAAACTGTTGGGACTAACAACAAGACAAGTGTCTGTCCTTATGGAAGTGTCCATATTAGTGGGGGAGGACAGGGGGTGGGAGTTTAGAAGAATAGGGGCGGGAGTGGCACAGGAGAGGAAACAGCAGGAGGTGGGAGTTGTAACATGGTGGGAAGCGGGAAAAATAGAGGGAAATTATGCAACAATGCTTCATATTTTGCAATCAAAGAAAGGGGTTAGAGGAGGAAAAGTACAAGGAATGCAAAGTACGGGAGGCAAGTCAGGCTTAGACCCTTACAACATAGAAATGCTGCTGTTGTCGTCAATTTCATTGTTTGCCAAAATACAACTTCTTTTACCACAATTTTTCTGTGAAGGCACGATGCAACCACTTTCCATTTTTTTAAGTCTGTAGTATTGGTCCATGTCAGCACGTGTTAAATAGTTTTCCACTTTAGATAGCGTTTTCAAACTTCAGACGTTTCTGGTTTTGGTTAATGCTGTTTTCATGGGATTCGAGTGGACAGGAGGCAAGAACGGGAACAAACTATTGAGTTGTCAATGCAAAAAGGATACTGTGGACAGGGCGTTGAAGAGAAAGAAGAGAGTATTGTTCTCTTACTAACGTTAAAAGCATTAAAGAGAAATGTGTTTACAACTGCTGCATATGTGATGTTTATGTGCCAATTCTGTCAATCTGCAACCAATTGATACCAATCGATATCAGTTATTTATCTATCGATTGTTATTGAAAATTGATACCAACTGATAACCACATGAATCTTCGCCAATGATTGATCATCGATTATCAATATCAATTGGTATTGATTGATACCAATTGTCATCGGTTATCGATTTCATCGATTGGATACCCCGGGAATACAGTAGAACCTCCATAACTCGAACTTGAATTCCCCGCTAACTCAAACTAAATTTCCTTTCCCTTGATCAAAATTTCACTGAAATTTACTCCGATACTCTCGAATTACCCGCTAAGTCAAACTATTTGTCGTTTCCCTTCAGAGTTCGATTTACCGGGGGTTTAATGTAGTTACAGAGGTCACTTACAGTCAAACCAGGTCAAGCGTTCCCGTCGCTAACGAACTAATGAATTCATTCACGGAAACATGATTTCGTTTGTTGATTCAATAATCCATTCATAAAATGAACAACCAATAGTCATATTTAGCCTCGATTCCATAATCGAATGTTGATTCGATTACTGTTTTTTGAAAAATTACACTTTCCACAAGTTGACCTCAGAATTTTGTTTTTTCCTCTTTGTTTTCTGAGAGTCGAGTGCTGGTGACTTCTGAAGTTCAAACCCAAACAAACTGTTACATGTACGCCAGTTTGCTGCCAATAATCAGTGCAACAGACCTAGGCCTGACCTCTTAGAAAACACGACGGTCAAACTGAGGTCAGTGTATGTGCGGTGATTGGTGGATTTCGATCCTCGGCCTTTGTCAGTTTCTTTGCGTTTGCGGTCTGTCTATTCTAGCTGTTATTTTGATTAAAGGCAATGAAAAACGCAATCGTAAACGGCAGGAAAAGGGAAGCAAATACGATTGAACAAAACAGACAAGAATAAAGAACAGGTAGATTTTGTTCATAAACCAAATCATAATTTGATTATTGAATCGAGGTACAATTTGTCACCGTTGGATTATTCATTTTATGAATGGATTATTGAATCAACAAACGAAATCATTTTTCCATTAATGAATTCATTAGTTTGTTAGCGACGGGAACGCTTGATTTGGTTTGACTGTAATCGCACTTGAATTTTACTCAGGACAACCACCAGATTTAAACAGGAAGTCTCCTTTCGAACACAATAGATATTCGCAGAAACACATGTATAAGGGTCTTCAGTCTTATAACTTGCCTGTTCTCTCACGTGTTTCTTGAAAATAATTCATCAACACTGGAAACAGAATTCCAAAATTCAGCGTCATCCCAAAAAACAGCCCGACAATGATAGTGGCACAGCAGCAAACAATCCATGACCATGGACTGTCGACCTCTTTCCTGCAAAGATTACTCCATGAATCTGACAATAAAATACCACGTCTTGTCGGCATTCCACTGAGTTTGTCAAAGTGCTTTTGAAGCAAGGAAGACCCTCCTCGATTTTCGCAGTTACCAAGAGATGAAGTGTTAACAAAACTCTTCAAAGGAAGGAACGTGGGAGCGGGAGGCGCTGTTGCCTCCGGGACGGACAACTCCGCACCTCACAAGGGACGGATTTGAAAATTTACGTCGAAAATATACTAAGGGACGGGAGGGTAGGAAAGGGTAGTTCTTGTCTTCTTTTCCTCTTCTCATTCTCGAAAACTCCGTGGCAGCTAGGGGCAAGGAGCTCTTCCTTGGGAAAAGTCACCAAAAATCAGGAGTTTTAAATATTTGCCCATAAATACCCCACCGTCCTGGCTAACTGCCCTTATGGGTCGTAGGCAGGAGCCCATCAAATTTGATGGGCTCCTGGTCGGAGGGGATGCGCCTTTCCTGACCTTTCCTGAGTTCGAACTGGTTCGAAGACTCCTGAAACACAAAATTCGTTTAAAGAAATACGAATACACAATCAAACTGATTTTTAAATGAAAATCAAAATAACTACGGTCCTAGCAAGGTCCAATGGGGTCTAATCCTGGCCCTGTGCTGCTCTACTATGGAGGGGCGCGAATTTGACTGTCGCCCACCCGCTAAGTAGTCCTGTTGTTCAAGCATGCGCATTGTTGCGTCATTAGGTAAACAGTCCGTGAAGCAGCTCGTCCAAGCGGTTATGGCGTATGAGGCTTGTCTCAGGAAAACAGTTCCTGTAAGCGGAGAAAAGGATTCCTTTTGTCCAAATAGCGTTTTGCTTTTACCAAACAAAGCAATAACCTTTGGTAGAATTATTTCTAGAGAAACAAATGTTCGTTTATTGTCGAAAACAACACCACTGATGATTTCTCGCAGACATGCAACGATTTCTGTTTCGGCGGGCAAATGGACGATAGTTGACCATGAGGTAAGAAAGCGCAGTTATTTTCGTCTCTTCTTGGGTATATCTTAAAAGAAAACGTATGAATAAGGTTTTACCTAACAACCCAAAGAGCTTTGAAGTTTAAAATGTAAGAAGTTGACTTTTATTTTAAGCATTTTTAATTTGTAGCAGCGCAATGGTAAAGTTTGTTGATATTATTGTTCTCCATTTATGAATATTCATCATGTTAAAACCCATGCTAAGTAAGCCGCTGGTTGGATAACTAACAAAAGACCACCTTAATGGAAATTTCACTTGCTAATAAGTGTGTTTCGCGCAGTGTAAATTGTCTTCTAAGTCCTGTTTGTAGAGCTGAAAACAACTTGGGGTCTTGGAGGTTTTTGTTCAAATAGCGTACCACATCGCATGAATGTATTCAAACTGGGTTTGTCCTATCTTACATGTACCAAAATTTTGTGTTGATCACTTTTTGGTTTGAAGGTGAAATCTCTTATGTTTTACTTTTTTAATGTTTCTTCTCTAAGTTTTTGTCAAAATATATGTTACTAATTATTTATCTAAGATTACTTTTCGTAAAGAACCAGGAATTTCAACCTATGTTTTGTTCACTTTTAAATCAAATATGTACTTTTGTACTTTAGAGTGAAACTTTGAATCACTCTGATAGTTCAAAAAGAGCTGCAATACTGCATGTAAGTGTCTCTCCTTCCAAATTGCCTTCTGTTTGTCTTGGAAATAAAGTTAAAATTGAAGTCAGTTGTCATAGAGTGCAACCCTGCTTTACTAAACACCCTCTTAACTGCAGGACACCTTGTTTCCTGCATCATGTGTTGGATAAAAATGTCTTAGTCCTATGGAAAAGCCTTCATGTTTTCTCTACACTCAATTTGTTTTATAACAGGTCCAGTTCACCAAATGAAAACATATGCACTGTAGGGATAAATAAGTCTGTTGTTCTGTCTTCTGCATTGCAGAGTTTAAATGGAGTATATGTCAATGGCAGTAGAATTCAGCCTAGTTTGCGTCACGTGATTGAACCTGGGGATAGGATTGCCTTTGGTGTAGGAATAGACCCAGATCCACCAGAGTTTGAGTATGTCTTTGAACATGCTGGGAGAGGCAAGAAAAGATCCCATGCAGAGACATCTTCAACAAACAGAGTTAAACAGAGAAAAATTTTGAGTGAAAGTGTCAATGTGTCGGTGACTGCAGATCATCCTGTTGTGCGTGAAGCTATTGGTGTCGCTGAGGAAAAGATTAAGAGATTGAAGTCTTCTCTAGAAGACAAAGAGAAATGTCATGCTGACGTTGTTCAGCAGTTGGAGAAGACAGAAAAAGACATGCAAGCCAAACTGTTGGAGCAGAAAGCTGCCCTAGAGAATGAAAAGCAAGAGCTTGAAAGTGCTCTGAAGACTCTTTTTGCAGAAAAGTTGACAGAGAAGGAAGAAGAGCTAAATGAGCAGTTGAGGAAGCAAAAGGAAAGTCTTATGGTTGAAAAAGAGCTGGTTGAAGCTCAGTTACAAGAGGAATTAAACAGAAAATTAGAAGAAAAAGACAAAGAACTTGAAAATCAGCTGACTCAGCAAAAACTATCTCTGGAAAAAGTTATTTCTGAGAAGGAAGCTCAACAGAATCTTTTACATACAGAACTAGAAAACTACAAGGCCTCTCAGGCTCGCTTACTGGATTTAGAAGCGAATGAAATAAGAATGGAATCCACACTTCAGGAGCTACGACAGATTGTTGAGTCTAAAAATGAAGAGCTTCTTAAACAACAAGAAGAAACAAAAAGAGTTGAAATGGAGACAAGAAAAACTGTAATTGAGCAGATGGAGGATGAGTTTACATGCATCATTTGTCAAGATCTTTTTATTAATTCTACCACTTTACCATGCGCTCACTCCTTCTGTGAGTACTGTTTGCAAACCTGGCTCTTGAAGAAGAACAACTGTCCCATTTGTCGCCAGACCATAACAGGAAAACCAGTCAGGTCTCTTGTTCTTGATAACGCCATTGCCAAAATGGTGGAATCTATGGATGAGGAGACCAAGACAAGGCGGCAGACAGTCAGCCAGGAAAGACAAGAGTTAAAATTACAAGGTAATACGGTAACGGTTGTCATCATTGATGGCTGAGCCATCCATGGCTAAGCCATCCTTTTATCTACGACTTATCGACCTTGTCTATGACTAGGTGTACCCAACTATGAGAGGGAAAGGTAGTGATCCGATCCAGCCGAGAAGAGAAAATATCCACTTACCTATAAAGTGTTTTCTCTGAATGCAGTAACTTCAATTTTAAGACCGAAGAAAGAAAAATGAGAAGTTGCAGTGAATTTACCCTCATCGGAACATGAATCCTGCTGAAATCCTTTAGGGAGTAGGCCGAATGAAGTTACAAGCAACAATTATTTCCTTAGCTACCGTCATGAGCAATTTCCTCAATGTGCGAGAATATCACACTGATTTAGCACACGGAAATAGGAAATATTTGGTCTTAGACAGATTGATGACAAATACAAGTAGTATTTTCAATGTCTACTGACCAATTTCTACAATATTGAGTATACTTCTAGTTTTGTTGCCGAAGTCCGTACCGTACACAACTGGCAGCGATATTAAAGAAACAGTGAATGCCTTTTTTCAACTTAATGTGAGTATTGCGGAAGTAAGTGAAATTGAAGGAGAAACTATATTATGTGGCTTTTTGCTGTACTGTCATTCTGAGATGAAACCCATTCAGTGAAGATTTGTATACGAGAAAAAATATACACTGGCTGTTCTAAAAGCTTTGAGTTACGATTTGTAGCATCGGTAAGTAAAAAATTCAACAAACTCAAACCCACCATATTGCCAAAATAATGTAAGAATTTTTACATTAATAGTCTAAAGTCAATCATTAAAATCATGCATTACTAGTGATAGTGTTTTTAATCTCTGCACATTTTCGTCTAAGCAAATTTATGCACTGCAATTTTTGAGTAACTGAAAGATGAAATAAGTCTAACAAAATGATTTAATTGATAAGGCTTAAACAAATCTCATCTTGTCATCCAGGACGAGTAGATTTTCTTGCTGGGCAAGTAACTTTTTATGCTCTCTTGCCCAGTAAGCAAGTGTCCAGGCAAGTCATGAATCATTGACTAAATCAAGTAAGCAATGGCCATGGGCAAGCAACATGTGAGGGCTATTTGTTGAAAAGACAATTTTTTTTAGCCCTGAGTAGGTCTAAGTGACTTTTGTGAACAGCAAAAAACAGGGTTCGTACAGGTTATGGAAAACCTGGAAAGTCATGGAATTTAAGAATTTCATTTTCCAGGCCTGGAAAGTCATGGAATGTAATTGTCGGTACTTGAAAGTCTTGGAAAATGAAAGCTCTGTTTGGTAGATTAGTTACTGCAGATGACAAAGCAAGGACAATTAAACATCAGGAGGAGTAATTAAACAGTGCAAACAGCATGCATTTTGGTGGACACCAGAGTTTGTGTCTGTTGAACTGTTTAAAATTTAAAAAAATATGCTAAAACAAGGAAGGTTTTGAAAATTCTCAAAAGTGACAGCTAAACATTAAGTCATGGAAAACTTGAAAAAGTAATGGAAATAGTCATGAAAGTCATGGAATTTGAAGACCTCAAAAGAGTACGAACCCTGAAAAATTCCTGTGGATTTGGTTGTGAAATAAACAATTTAGTGTCTGATGACATTAAGGTCTACCCATGTGTACAGTGTAAGAGCTTCTCAAGTAACAGTAATAGTCTTCCAACATTGCATGTGGCTTAGCTTACTGGTAAATAACTGATCAGAAATGTAGATCTATATTATTTATTCTTATGCCATTGCAGATGTCTTGTACTTAGAAAGTTTTCAAACCTGGCAAATTTTGGTGTATTGCTGGCAGGGCCAGTTATGCAATGAGAAATACTTTACACCCCATATCCTCTGCATTCAATATGCGAAACCTACTGTTTTGACGAAAGGTTAAGAAAATAAATCAACATCTCTGTGACTGTCAGATGGCTACTTCAGCCTGACTGAAAAACCATGTAGGTTTCCTTAAAGGAAGTTGAAATTGCTGCTTGCTGGTAACCGTCATGTTACAGAATATTTTTTTTATATAATCTTTAGCAAAACTGTGGACCCTAGTAATAATTTTTTTTTTGGATTCTCTTTGGCATGACCTTTTTACCCTTTTTTCCTTTAAGATTAAAACCCCTGTTCTCTACATTTTTATTTATTTAATAAAGGACTGTATATACATTGAGTTGTTAAAGTATTACTTGCCTGGTTTAAATTGTCATTTACCTGCACTTTTTTATGGGCAGCAGTTCATTAATGTTTGTCATATATTGGTGTACATTTTACTGCTTCCTAAGAATAATCATTTTTCAGTTTTGTTGAGCTGACTGTTTCCGGTAGGTCTGAGTTTTTTTATCAAGCTTGTAAAACCATTTTCCGGTACATGTACGTAATAAACAACTACTTGTCATTTGTTACCTGATAAATGATTTATCGGGTACCAATTTGCAAGCAGTTGTTTATTATTGCACATCATTGTTCAACAGCTGTACAGAAATCTGTGTGTTTTGAGCACTTAAGTTTGAAAACAAGGCTCTGTTCAGTAATTTCCGGTGTTAATCTTGTGTTGAGAAGCTGAAGCCTGCTAAGTGCATGGAATGGACATTATTAAAGGCTGAACAATCTGTTACAGTAGGTTAAGTCTTTAAATGAATTGTAATTAAGGAGTTAACTAGTGCCCAGCATGGTGATGCTTTTTTGATAATGGGCAGACTTGTTGCAAAATTATGATTGTGGCTAACTTAATAGCCTTCTCTGATTCAGAAAGAAATCCTGTTTCCTTTTTTTAAAACAGTATTGCTAAAAGTAAAAGAATGGATACACACTAAAAATAAATAGATTAAAAAATCTATTTTTTAATAGCTAATTTTAAATACAAAAATGGAAAAAAATTTATGGCACATAAACTTAATACCAAGAGAATTCCATGTTGACAAATGTATGGTTCCACTGATGGATCTGGAAAGTTCAGCAGCTTGCTTTTAATTCAGATGTATTTTTTTAACAAATAAAAAGTGTCACACAGATTGGGCCAACTATTGATTATGAGAAGAGAGAAGGCTGTGTTTATTTTGCATTGTTTTTTGGTCAATAGGGTTGAAAGAAGCAACTCAGTTGATCAACAAAAACACATCAGATCTCTCTTGTCAGGTTGCTTTATATTTCAAGGTGGTCAGTAGTAACCTAACAAACCTGGTTTGTTAATAAAAATATTTGAAATGACTCAACCTGATTTGTGTTAAGGAGGTACCACTAAGGTCAAAGTCCTGGAAAACACTCAATAAAGTAGGTCTGTCCTGAGGGTGTCAAAAATCTGAAGTGGGTGGCTGGTAATTAAGTAACCAGCTATCAACATGGTTAAAAAGAATCTTTTATTTCTTCAATTAAGGGGGAGAAGTAGCCGACTTCCCTTAGCAGAGTACATGGCACCTTTTGTTGGTCATTATTGCATCTGCATAAGCCAATAATTTTTTTTCCTTAAGTTGTTTGAATATCATATAGAAAGGAGCCCAAGATGTCTTTAAGTTGTCAGAGGCAGTGGTTTCTTTTCAGAGATCACAAATCAGTGAACATACTTCTAAGTCTGATCAGTCATCAGTGTCTTATATAACAAATATTGGATGATGATGTCTCCTGTCAGTAAGATAATATTTTTGACAGTGCCATAACTATCAAGAGAGTGAAGCAACATTGTTGAAATAAACTTTCTGGCGATGGGTTTTGTTTAGTTAACAGTATATTATTAAAAACAATTTTTTTGTTGAGCCATTTTAATCAGACAGGTTATTTTACACATCTGTGGGAAATGATAGATATGTTCTTTGACACTTATCATCTGTTTTACACAATTTTGGTTAAATGTTGAATAAAACAGACCATTCAATAGATCCGTGTTAACATTTACCATAAAGTCACTTAGTCAATTCTAATTTTGCCATTGATTTACTGTACAGCAGCTGCAGCTAGAGCAACTCCTGGTTCACAGGGCCATCCTATTGTTGTGAATGAGAATGATGGACAACAGCCTGGTCCAGCATACACTGCACATGCCGCCCCTAGGGTGGCGCAAAATCAACCTTGGCATCCAAGATCAAGGGAACAACCATACACCCGTGGAGTTCAAGTGACCGATACACGTCCAGCTGCTACCCACCAGAGAAATAATTACAACCGATATTATGATCATCACAGGTACTATGGTAACTATGGAGGTCATGCTGGATATCGTGGTGGGGCTGATATTGAGAGGGAACATGCGCATGGTAATTACATGCAAGGTGTTCCTGGAGCATATTATCCTGGTTATGGTCAGTGCCGATTATGTGGTGAGTAGTAAGCAAGCAAACTTCCTCTTCTGGTGTGAGACTCTTCCCCAGGGGGATAGTCCAGATCAGAAGTAACGGGGATGATCAAATGGTAGCAAAGTTTTGATAGAGGAATTGCAAAGCCATGTGGAAAATTGGATGGCAAAACCCAAAAAAATCCAATGATTAATTTCCGAGCCTTCAAAAAATTCCAGAAACGATTAAAAATAAAATGATATAACACAGAAACTAAGAACATTAGAAAAATCCATCACCAGAACTATGTGGCCAGGATACGCGGGCACTACCATGAATCTTAAGATTTTTTTAAAAGAAAACCTAAACAATCAGTACTTAAATCAAGCCACCCAAAAAAAGCCCTGAATGAAAAATTTCAAACCCAAGAAAGTCCTTCAATCATCCTTGTCACTTGAAATCCAGAGTACCCTCCCACCGGAGCACTCTTCGAAAAGCCATGATTTGATACATTTTTTCAAAATTTCATTTTGTTGATGTGGGTGTAGTATTAAAGCAGTGAGCGGGGGCTTCCCTAAAAATTGATGGGGATACAGTGTACTTTTCACAGAAATATAGCAGTTATGGTGACTGGAAAAGGCCCATTAAGGCCTTTGATCAATTATATGAAGATTTTTGTTTCAAAATGCATAAGGTTTGCTCTTATTACAGTAAGAGAATTTAACATGTGATTCAGAATCACTTAGGGCCTATTTCATGTACCCCTTTAATTGGTACTGTCTTAGGGGTTAAGAGGAGTTTGGGCCACACCCATTAATGGAGATCCTGATGTCTTTTAGAGGAAGTCTTTGAAATTGTTGCAGTGCATGAGCATTGGTCATTTTTATAGGGAAATCAACTTCGTGATGGCTTCTGCAACAACAAGTTTACACTAATAGTGGCATTGTAAATACTGAAAGTTGCAGTACACTGGAACCTTGATATAACAAAGGGCTAAGTTCACTATAATGAGGTTTTTCTATATGGAGGTTCTTGTTATGTGTACTACTACTTGGGTAAAGAAAACTGTTATACCAAGGACTTCGTGGTATAGAGGTTTATATCAAGCTTCCACTGTAATATGCTTGCTTTATTTCCAAGTAAACTTCCCTCTGCAATCAGATTTTTATATCAAATTACTTTGACTAGGAAATAAATTGGTTCATATATGTTTTGGGCTATTTTGGGGTTGTTTTAATTTATTTCATCAAATGATGTAGATTCATTGCTTGGTAAAGACATTTGTGTCAATAAATATAATTTATTATTTTTTCAGGTATGAGAGGGCACTGGGCACCAGGATGTCCATTCCAGCACTAGATGGAGTCCTACATACCCACAGAACACTAACATAATATGTCAGTCACAGCATATGGGCAATATGGTTTTACCATACATATTAATCTAGCAGATAATTAATCTAAAAGATAATTAGACTGAGTGAGGTTGAAAGCATACAGTGTGGATGCATGTCATGGAAAAGTTTCAGTTCAGCATTTTGCATCTGCTATATTATTCATATAACTTAAGCACGGCAGTTTTGCCATAAAGGTTTAAGTGGTTAAGAGTGACATAATCTTTCTCCAAAGACATATTCTGCAGGGGTAATTAATTTAATGATAAGGCTCAAACTTCTGAAGAAAAATTATTTGGGTAATATTGTAAATTAATGATTTGTTCAAAATCAAAAGGGAATCAGATCTTGGCTAAATATGTATGGTTTCAAACAGGGCATTTGGTATGCTAATACTATATTATATACAGTATTTTGCAGCAGTTAGACATTATATAGTTTTTGTCACTGGTGTACAGTTATCTGCAACTTCATTCAATTTCATAAAAGGCTTGTTTGAATAATATTTCATGGAGCCTTGTGCTTTAAGATAAGATAACTACCAGTCGCTTGCAATAGGAGCTGGGATTAAATAATAGTAATATTTAATTTTAAGGTACCTTCCTCGAAAGGTATTTCCTCGAATAAGCGCCCAGGCGATGGCTAAAAGGAGGGCGCTAATGAAGTTTTCCTTTCAACGAACTGTGATTTTATTTTGGCTTAATCTCTAATAGAAAATCAAAGACTTCACCATTTTCCGCGAAAACGTAAAGTCAATATTTAAATGTCTATCGTTACACACTATTATATCGCTGCATATTTATAAAATATCGGTTATCTCATCGTCCTCAAGATCGTCCTCGTCAATGATGTGCACATCGTCGCATTCCTCTTGTACTCCCTACTATTTGAGGGTGCGCTTAATCGAAAGGGTTGCTTGATTGTGGGCGCTTATTCCGGAGAGGGCGCTTTTAATATATAAAGCGTTGGCGCTTATTCGAGGAAATAGGGTACTTTATAAGCACTAGTTGTAGAAGGTGAAATTTGCAAAACGGTGAAACAAAAAAGTTGTACCATGCAGTAATTAATAGCGAGGTGATAAAAGTTTTTCACAATTCTTGAAAATCGCCCAAAACATGACAAAAACCGCGGAACAGAAATATAGTCGATGACGGCCGCATGCTTCAAAGCCAGGCAAGTTCTCAATGCAATTGACAAATTCCTCCAGTTTAAAAAGGATCTTATGGACTTCCTTTGCAGAATTACGGATGGGCTTGAAGCAAATGTGGCAACCTTTAAAAAACACACACGAACAAACTGAACACAACCTTTAAACAAGAGAAAAACGAAAACCGCTAAATTTAAATCAAATATCGCAAATTTGAAGAGCAGAATCTTCAATCTTCCTCCTTTCATTACAACGTATTGTTTGAAAAAATTGGTGTCATTTTATTTTATTTCTTCATTTTTCCAAATAACTCCGGACTTTTTCCAAAGTGGTCAGTTGGCTCAAACAAAACCTCAAACAGGTCAGTTAGCTATCTATCTTGTTTTTGAAATTCTGGCATCTATTCTTGCAACTAATCACAATCCGTATTTATTTAAAAACTAAAAAGGAAATGTTTAATAGTAAAAAAAAAGAGAATTAAAAAAATGCTTGTGCTGGATAATTTTAAGTACGTAACAAATATTAAAGCTACTCTACACATGAACTGATCTTAATATTACTGTCATTCTCTTTGTCAAGTATTGAGAATAACTAACACGCGTTTCAAATAAAGTGGCAGGGAATATAAACCGTTTGATCAGTTGTCCTATTCATCTTTGCGTATTTCTTAATTTGCGTTGTTTTAAGATCATCTCATTCTCAAAGCTTCCTATGAATCTTAGAGGGGTGCAAGGGGGAGTCTCATCAAGAGTTCACGAACAACACGAAACGCCGTTTTCTCGCTTCTCAAACATAGAGGTCGTAAAAACTGTCAAAAACGTTACGTTAGTCCCATTTTGTAAAACCGAGTGCTTCGATTATATTTTAGCAAGTTAACTAGAGTCTTACGAACCTTGTGAAAAACACTGCGGGACTATAAATTCCCTTTGGAAAACAGCTGTCGGTGGGTATGAGCACACAGAAGTGTGAAGTTACTGAAAATTAAGACTCGAAAGTAAAGTTAAATCAAGCCGCCAGATGCTAGTTAAGGTCGTTTGGCCAAATTAACGATTTATTTTCTTCAACTGATGTTTAAAACATATCGAGGATTTCGGCAGTTCCGGTTTCACGGAATTCACTTCAATCACGATTCACAAAACAGTTTTTCAGTACATCACAACTCAGGGACACCAAAAATGGTCGAGCAAGGCGTCACGAACTTAAGATGGCCCTTCATACCATTCAATTAAGTTACTCACTCATTCATTCAACCATTTTCAACCTGAATTTAATTTTTAGACCCTATTTTATTTCATGGGTCAGGGGGGGACCCTGGCATTTTAAACGTATTTTGGGGTAGGCATATTTTTCTAAAAATTTTTGATTTGTGTTCCCCAGAGCGTGAAAAAAGGGATCAAAAAGAAACCAGAAAAAAACCCCAATTCTAGACCTCGGGGTCCAATTACTCCATTTGTTAGATGTTCGAAAATCCTAGGAGAGGCAGGCAAGTAATAAATTTTACAATAAATGCTCCGAAAATTCTAGATCTCAAATCGTCTTCCGTACAGATATTTTCCGAAAATTGACGTTGAGTGTCGCTGATAATAATGACGATCAATTGGTTTAACAATTTTAACCTGAATTTAATTTGTTGGCCTTTAACACTAAACATATGTCCATGTCCTTTCCTGCCATTCTCTCAAATTTCTTTGAAGAACAGTGAACTCAAAACCCCCCACAACACCTTTCGGGATTGTCATGTGTACATTTTTCCGAACCTTTCTCGAAATAGCTGTATACTTATAAGACCGAGTAAAACCCTCCCGATTTTCTTCCTTTTCACCCCTCCCTATAGGCTCTATAACATTTTTCTTTAAAAAAGGCAGGCGAGGATATCTCTCCTCGTGCTACAAGAGGGATCCATTATTGAAAAATAAGATTGAAAACAGATGAGATGATTCATAATGTAAAAACAATTTATTAGCGTTTTCCTAGGTAATATATTACATGCATGCCTTAAATTCAAATACAAAATATATATTCAGTCTTATTAAAATGTACATTAATTGATTTCAAATGAAGTTGTTGTGAAAGTAGAAAATTGCATTTTTTTGGGGGGGGGGCGCTTAGAAAGACTATCAAACGGTGTCAAAATGACGGTTACAAAAGCGATCAGAAGCTGCAAGATATCGAAAAACGCTCTTGCATAGTAATAAATTATTACGGACTACGAAGCTTGGTACTTATAGGATAGAACGCGTAGAAACTTAGAGAGCGGCTATATCCGCTGCCTTTGAAAATTTTAGTACGTCGATGTTAACCTAAAACTTTCGTTTGGCGAGAGAGAAAGAAGCTGCGAAACGTGCTCAAGAGGGGCGCGCGAACGAGCGGCAAAGCCGCCCCATTCTCCTTACAGTCTCGCTGCTCATTTGCATACGCGACAAACGAGTGCTAGGATTGTTTCACATCAGCTGCAAATCGCAGACCCATCTGCAAGTTTCGAACACCCCTGGAGGGACTGGACTTAAATGGTGAGTCTAGCACTGCATGGCGGGATATTCTGGAATCTTTCTTTAGAATGCTTGAGGGACTGGGTTGAAGACCTTCACCAGCCGCTGCGGATTCTGGGAGTCTGGCTAGTTTAACAATGTCGGTGTGTTCTACAATATGTTCCTATTAAGAGAAAAAACACACACACAGTAACGGTTAGAATTGAATTACCTGTTCCCCAACAAAATTTCATCTTTCATATAATCTACGCTAAGATACAGACTTGAAAAGTACGGCTAAACTTGATCTGGAAGAAGGCTAACAATACACTCACAGAATAAGACCCCCCCCCCCCCCCCCCCCATGTTTCTTCAAACGTATCCGCTGGGGCTATTGCTAATTATCTCTCCTCAATCGAGTGAACTCAGGCACCGTTCACAGTAAATCTTGTTTTCCATTGCTTCCTGTTTGCCATGAGTTCGCTTTACTCAACTCCCCGATCAGCTTCAAGGATATCATTTTAGTTCTCAGCAAGCTGCCGCGGGATCTTCATCCAAGGTTTGGCTCCCAGAAAATAAATGTAGTACTCTATGCACTACAATTTTCTCCTTCTTTTTTAAAATTTTCTGGAGACTCTTGGAGTCTTGTGTACAGTGCCAATTTCTACGAAAATACGATGCTGGTCCCTGCGCACTTAAAACCCCCAAAAAGATGAATGGGACAGCCACACACTAACCTCTAGTAACAGCGTGACTACAGTACTCACCTGAATAATTTTCAACTTTGAATCCACGTCCATGGATTCTACAGGTGTAGTATGGAGTCGTTGGCATTTCTCTGCTATGTTATCTATGGCCATTCTGATGCAGCCGAGCATTTCACTCTGTCAAGAAATGACCAACAACATCTGATTCAGCACCGGTGGTCAGTGATGGCATTACAACTACTCTCCCCAACAGCCGTTTTTAGTGTTGTCATGCACTCTTTCTTCTTCAGGGAAGGACAGACACTAAATACGGGTGCAGTAGAGACCACATGACAACAGCACTACCCCAAAAAAGCATATTGCTCTGTTTAGAAACAAGAGCAATTCTCTCTCCTCTTAACTCTCCTATAGATATAATGTTTTAACCATTTAAGCCCTACGGGTGATCAGCATGAAATTTCTCCTTGTTATACATTATCAATGCTTTATAAAACTGAGTGCATGGTCATGAGAATTTAGGGCATGGTCACACAAGATGAATCTATTGACACTTCAACAAATTCTTTCCAGTACTTCCATTGAAAACATATAGGGACAAAGAATGAGAAGTTGAATTTTGATATTAGGGTTTAAAGGTTTAAAAAGAAAAAGTATAGTACTCCGTTCCAGGTGATTCAGAAAATGGATTGCAGGCAAAAAATAGAGCAAGTGAAAAAAAAAAGCGATATTTTTTTTCCCTCGCTCTTTTTTTTTGCCTTCTTCTCACTATCTGAATGCCTGGAACTTCTCCTTCTTCTGCCCTAACCTGCTGCCTGAAAATTCCCCTACTGTTGATTAAGAACTGGTCAATTTTTTCTTTCTTTTGCATGCTCTCTTCAAGTTTTTCTTGAAGCGCAGCCAACTCACTATTCATCAGCTGCAAATAAAAGAATTTATAAAGAAATGAATTTCAATAAAGATTAATTTAATATTATTAATCTGAATAAAATGATTTTCCCAGTTATGAAAGCTTTTTCAGCTATTGGGAAATAAGAATCTCCTGAACCAAAAAAACTCTGAAAGATTGTTCACATGCTGAGGGGGGCAAGAACCAGTTTTAACATTAATTTATGCAAATATTACTAATAAATGATACTGATTCTGCACAACTGACCAGCAGGTCTTGAGTGTGTTCTTGATTCAAATCCTGGAGTTTCTGTTGCTCTGTCTCTACCTGAAAAGATTTTTATTAACGCACAAAAAATAATGTGAGACCGCAGGGACTGCTCAAAAGAATGTTTGCTGACAATGCTGGTATTGGACATGGTTGGAAAAGTAAACAACATTTTTTTATGGGAGTGCGCTCTGATATTTCGTTGTTAAATTCACTTCTTACTGCCTGTTTATGCAGGCTCAAATCGTGACAGCTTGCAAATATTTTTTCGTACTTGGGGTCTTAGAAGGGCTTATAAATGGGGGGCTTTATATCTGGGACGGTTTATCAAGGACTTAAAAAAAGTGTTTCAAGACAAGCTATAAGGGTGATCAAAATTATAGTCTTTGAATTTACTCACTTTTTTAAGTTTCAAAACATCGTAAATTTGAATTCATTTCAGTACAAGTTAGAAGGGTATTCCACAACTCATTCTCAAACAGGAGCTGTAAGTGTACCTGGTCTGAAGTGTCTATAAGCATCTGTACAAGAGATTGATTGGTAGCACTCAATGTTCTAAATCTCATCATTATTCCCATCAGCATGGAGTCATTAGCCTCTAGATAGTCTAACAAGTGAAATGCAGAATGGAAAATTAAATTTGTTAACATTTCTAGTCCCAAGAGTGGCCAAAATAAATATTCTCCTAACAATTCAATACATTATCAAGTACAAAGGTTATACATAATTAATAAAATGATCACCAACAGATCTTTACCATTCTCTCCACTAGTACTATTAAATTTCCACTAATGTTACAAGAAAATGGAGATCAGTCTGGAGAATATTTAAGTGGATGTTTGGGACTTAAAAGGGTTAAATAAATATGAATTCTGAACAGAGTAGAGCCATATATAACAACTTCTTATAAACAATTAAAGGATGAGGTTTTTGTGATATCTAGGATAATCAAAGTTGAGGTAAGTATTATAAGCCAAGCCAAAGGCTGAGGCTGATCACTTACTGAGACCTTGACTATTCTGGATATTGATAACTTAATCTAATAATATTGTTTTATAATTACAGTGTATGCATTGCTTTGAAATAAATAATGACAAAGTAAGACACTGTCACACAGAACTGATTTGACATTGCTCTTGGAAATCATGCATTGTGCTTGCAACCTACACTAAACTGAAGGTTGCACTGATTTCCAAAATTAACTGTAGGTTCTTTATAGCCAGTGAGAAGATAGATACTGAGTACAATGCATAATAATAATCAGAAATATTGTACCTTCTGGTAACTGGTCAAGAACTTTCATCAGGAATTTTTCATAAACAGAATACTTGGCCAGTTTTGCTTGTAGACCCTCATTCCTGAATAATACAAATAATAAATAAATTTATTATTAATATCACTTAAAGTGTTTAGCAAAGGTACTGAGAAGGGCTTTTGGTTCAGATATTAAGTAAAATAAGTAAAAACTCTTTAAAATAATAAGCTGAGTACCACTAAAAACACATATCACCTCACCTAGAGCATTAGAAGTCTGAAAATGCAATCACAATCCTAATTTAAACTGTTGCAATAACGGATTGGGTGCTTTACTTGAAACTATTTATTTGACAACTTTTGGCTTGTTGGAAATTATGTGGCCTTTTTTGAAAATTATAACATTAAAATATGTTGAGCACTCAAGAGTTCTTATTGATTTAACCTGCCGAAGAGTTTTAGATAAAAATAAAGCATTAAAATAAAAAATATAAATGCATTTGAATATTGTACAGGAATCATTGTAGCCTACAGTTGTATAGTGATTGGACTTACTTAGTATAAAATTTTAGTGACTTTTAGGGAGATATTTTACACACACTAATTCATATTTTTAAGGCCAAGGCAAGCTTTAGCATAGCTTTAGCATTGTAAGATTTTTTGAGAAGGTCTAGCAGTTTCTTTTATTAATTTGCATATTTTCTAATACACCATACCTCTATCACTTAGTTTTAACCCCTAACCCCCCATCCTCTTCCTCCATCCAAGGGCTCACCTTGCTTTCAACTGTTCTAACTCGATAGTTAATACATCCAGTTCTCCGTTTTTCTGGTTTTTAAGTTTTAATTCTGTTTGGTACTTTTGGATGGCTCTTCTTCTTTTTGCATCATTTTCTTCGATGAACTTTTCGAACTTGTTCACTCTTTCACGAATCTGTTGGGATGAAAAGGAGGTAAATGTGATGTCATTATTATTATTTTTTTTTTGAGGTACGGGGGTAGGTTGAACGCACACAAGGAAGGAAGATACAATATATTTACTTGACTTGTGATGTATACCATTCTTTTTCAGCAACTTCCTTTCATGGGTACTCTTTGGTTGTGGTCAAACTTGTATTAATATAGTCAACCTGTGCTTGACCAGTAAATTGGATATACTCTGCAATCTTAGGCTAGGGGACAGCTTGCCATTAACACAGGTTTGCCCGCACCACCCAAAAGCCAGAACATACATAAAGAGTACAGTAGGGTTATTCAAGGCCGTACTCTAGGAAAAATAATATTTTGGGGAAAACTAATATTTGACAATGACAGTAAGGAGAGTAAGAGCTCTCAAGAGTCTCCTGAAACTCAGTGGTGTAGAACATCTGTACTGGTAAGCAGAAAGTCATAGCCGGTTTGACTCCTGCTGAGAGAACTCAGTTGCATGTGCCATATTTATTGTTGTGTACATACAATGTTCATACAAGACTTTCCTAGCAACGGAAATCTGGAGTCATGTAGCTCGACAATGACTGTCAAGTTTTGCTCGAGACTGTAGCAGTGAGCTACGTGTACTCTGACACCGTAAAAAGTGCTGGAGTTTATGGCCTTTAAGTGGCCAGTTCCAAATATTAGTTACTTAAACCAAAAAAGTCATCATTTGTCATTTCGATCCCAATTAAGGACAATCTTTGTCATAAGCCACCAGTACTGCAAAAGCATAGGCCTGTAATCTATTGTTGGTTTTCACATCACGTTGACCACTAAAATTCAAACTACAAAGCTGTCGATCCTACTGAGATTTTACGTCGAATGATGTATTAGAGTGGCTGAAAACTAATTTTCAAGTAAATTTTCGCTTCAAAAAAGTTCAATTTTTTTAAAAGTTTTAAACCCAAAAAACATCTCGAAATTTTGCTTTCTGTGCATGCCTGAACTTCAACAAGCCTATAATTTGCATCTGGATCAGAATGCTGCGAAGTGTATGAGCTGTAAACGGCTTTGTGGTACGTTTTAGTTCTTTATAGCATGACAGTGACCAGAGAACCACTCAACTACCATAGATTCAAAAAGTGTTTTTTGGGAAAATTTCCAGGAGCGAACGGGTTAAGAATTCTAGCAGCAAGAGAAAGGTTCAACGTTGCAGAAGAATATTATTTTTGAGAGGCTACACGTCTGAGTAAAAAATAGTCCTAAGGCTATTGACCATTAGCTGGAGAATTCTGCGTAGTAAATGAAGAATACTCCGATCTCCGATGCCTAATGAACACCCTGCATTACAAAAATTATCACTTTAATGTTTATGAGTTCCTCGAGGAATAAATTCACGCTTTTGAAGCAAAACTCGGTAAAACTCAATCTTTCTGTTGGCTTCCATCCGCAATGTTGGTGCCCATCCGGATGGGCACCACCATAGCATCTCCATATAAATCTCTATAAATTTGGGTAAAACATTTCTTCGGATATCTCGTATGTATCAAATTATTCCTCTGAATCTTGGCAAGGGTCTCTGCATATTTACCTCATTTCATTTCCCAGATTCTGGACTTTGTCCATTGAACTTTTTTTGACTTTTATTTTGTTCTGTTTTGAATGACATACGTGACAAGGAAAACCAGCAATGTAGAAATTGGGAAATAACCAGTCTACAAAATTTTCTTTGAAAATTATACATACAAACCTGGGTTTGCTTCTTTTTAAGCTCCTCCTCCTTCCTTTTGCAAGCTGTCATACGCTCTGCAAACTGTCGTCTTTTAATATCCAAGTCTTCCTGCACCTTTTCCACTTCCACTTGTTTCTTGAGCAGCAGGGTAGACTGAACAGTATTGAGTCCTGTGTCAAGTAGTTTGCTTGCAGACTGCAAAACAATTAACATCAAAAGAGGGGTGTGAATACATAGATATATGATCAGTGCTGTAGCAAGACTTTTGGCACGAGGGGGTTTATATAACCGGAAATTATAGAAAAATACCTTTCGAATTTACTAGTTTTTAATTAAGCTTCAGAACATCATAATAAGTCAAGTTTATTTCAGTACATTTGAAAAAGAGGCTTTTTTCATTTACCGGTTTGAGGAAGGTGGGCCTACAGCTGTATAACTCTGGAGAGGCAGTTTACAGGCAAAGATATCTTAAATAAACGGTGAAAGTAATTTCTTTTCATTTTCCTTGAATAATATCTTACATGTCTTCCCACCATTTTACTTACTGATGATCAAAACATTTTTATGTTAGTTAATGACAATAATTATGGTATCTGTCGCATTTTTATTAATTCAATGAAAACACTAACTCTTGATTTTGCAATGATTTTATTTTTACATCCATATAATATCTTTTACCTAAACGACATAAAAAGAGTTCGAAGCAAAATTAACCACTCATTTGCGCACAAAATTTTAAAAACAGATAAATCTGCCCCTGACAGATGTTTCGTCTGCCTCCGGCTTGTTAATCTAAACTGACTTACATCATGTGCAAGTCTTTTTGAGTATATTAATCTCCGGGATTAAACTACACATATCATTCACATAACAGATCCTCTAGATTTAGGCAGAAGTTACCACAAATTGTTTACCAAAACCCGTGACAAAAAATTCGAAGTTAACAATAGTGGTAAACACGCGAGTTACGGACAACTACGTGTACGAATTAATTGCGGAAAGAACTTCATGCACTACATACCTCTTTAACGATGGGAAATTTGCGAACCTCGCTTTCATCTTCCTCGTCTTCCCTGTCGACGAAAAACCGCAAAATTTTTGAAGAGAATACTCTCGTATATTTAGCCTGTTAAATATGCACAAACTGAAATTAAAAGCAACTTTACCGTAACTGCGTTACGAAGACGTTCTGTTTCTGTGGTTCGAGCTCAAGCCGATAAGATCCCTCTGCATCCATGTTAATATCCCATGTAAATTTATTGCTTATGGCGTCGACGTTTTGTTCCCCTATCCGCAGTAGAGAAGAAACTTCGAATGTACAGTTAGTTTGTTCAGCTGTGTGATAAGAAGTTCCAGCGCTCGCTTCCGAAGAAGTGTTACCATAGCGACGAGAGTTCTAATTGGCTCTATGAAATTTACACGCCTGTAATGGACTACAGGATCAAATGGATCAGGACTAAGGGTGTGTTCCTTTCGGCGAATCCAAAAACGGATTTTGGATCCTAGATTTGCCAGATTTCGCGGTCGAAAGGAACGTGAAATCCGAAATTGGATTTGTAACCTTGGTAACCTTTCGCCAACGCGTGCAATATGCATCACAGCCTCTCAAGAAATGACGTGTTTTCTACTGTTTGACAAATTATGCGATTATACCGTGCAGAATATAGTGGTCGGCAGTTCGAATAGCGACGATGGAACATATAAAACAGACAAAGAAAGAAGCGCATTAAAATTGAAAATTATCTAAAGAATGTCGGCCAGTTTGATCCAGTTCCATAGCTCGGATATTTTTATGTAACACGATCGAGTGCCTGTCGCGTCTACAAGCGAGTTTGTAGTTAGATAGCAGTTCATTTGTTACTTGTACTTATTTCTTATTTCAAGCAATTTTTAGAGACAAATGGTTAGTATATGGATATTTTAACGTACCAGGGACAATCTTCTAGTGTTTTCAGATGTTTTGCGACAAATGACAGCAGCGAGGAAACTCTCCGGCCTCTATGGGAATACTTCAACTGGAAATACCGCTGGATCATCTGACTAATTTCGGATCCACTGTGAATGGAACAGCGTAGATCACTAATCCGTTAATCTGGATTTGGATTCTTCGGATTTCAAATCTAATGAATCCTTTTTCAAAAAGGATTCACCAGATCAAAAATCCGGATTTGGATTTGCCGAAAGGAACACGAAATCCGTTCTTAGATCTAAAATCCGTTTTTGGATTCACCGAAAGGAACACACCCTAAATGTTTAAGTAGGACTAGTTACTGTTCGAGATAACTGAACCGAGAAGGCATTTTTATCTTAAGCCAATAAAATTTCACCAATGTGTTAATGTAAAAGTAATCATTCCAACTGATACTGGATGGTATTTTAATTTAAAAATTTGCAACAAAACTGCAAGTCCTCTTCCCACCACTGCACCTCCTTCCACCCCCCCCCCCCCCCTCCTCTCCCAATAAAAAACAAATTCTCTCTTATCCAAAAAGGGTATGCTTTGGCTTTCACTTTATATTTAGTTATCATTATACAGCTACTAACAAGAGACACAGCAAAGGAAAAAAAATCATAAAAACAATCTGATAAAAATATCACAAAGTCACTACGCAATGACTTTTTGCACAAGTCTTTAAAGGCTATTTCTTTTGTATTACATCAACATACAGTGTACTTGTTTTTATTGATGGAAGAAACTGGATAATCATTATAAAAATCCAGTTAACTGATGTAAATTTTTAAAAGCTGCTCCAATACAAGGGTATGGTTTCTTGAACAAGTCTCCAGCTACTACTGAAACATTATACAATGGCTCATAAAGTCAACTTTCTTCACAATCACCAATAAAGGTGACTGCCCAGTAGCCACGAGGTAAACATAATGTCCATGTTTCATTCACTGGGTTTCACTGTCTTATTTCTGATGTTGACAACTCTCTGATGCCATATAAGAATTCCTGTCATGAGCACCATGGCTATAAAAATGTCCTCAGTCCTGTATGTCATAAAATTAATGTTCTATACAACTCAGCTTTACTGTTTTTGTTTTTAGCTGCTAAGCATCCATTGAGACTACTGGTCTTCGTCCTCCTTAAATGGATCTTTTCTCTTTGTTTTTAAGATCTGCAAATTAAAAGAAGCCAATATTCATTAAAATAAAATGCCTTTAATATACCATAAACTGACTCTTAAGAATCAGGACTGTGCTCTAGCAGAGCCTGGTGGCCCCTGGCGCTTAACTTTCACCCTCAGGCGACTAGAAAATCGCAGATTTTTCATACAAATCATATGCTGGGCACTCTAGATACAGTTTCAGAGCACTGGGCTCCCTTCAATTTTCCTTAGAGCAAAGCCTTAAAGAACCCTGAGCTGATACATTTTGGTGAGGAATTTTAAAATGGCTTATAAATGTTATAATCCCAGTCCCAAAATGACAATAATTTTCATTTTATTAATATATTTTTCAGCTAATCAATTCATAAATACAATGTAATTCACCTTTTGCTGTCAATTTGTGTCTGTTCATAAACCAATGTTATTTATTTATTTGGACTGTAATCTAGATGAGGCAAGTTCCTCAGGGGGGGGGGGGGTGGATCCAGAAAATTCAGAAAGAATGATCAGGACACTTGCCAGGTATATAGCTACTAATTTATTTTGGTCCTTGCCCCACCTTTTGCTAGCTACATGTAGCACCCCTCCATCCCCCTAACAAAACTTACAGGCCAGCGTGCAGCTGCTTTGAGATATTCTTCCATCTTTATAACAACTGGGCCTTTCTCAAATAACTCCTCCTTGGTAACTGCAACAGAAATTTTATCAACTCTTTCCATTTCATTTATTTTAAATACCTAATTATATTTCTGTCTCATGAACAATCTTGCCACACTGACGACATTTATGACTGAATGTGGAGCTTTATTCAGAGCTCCACTCATTTTAACAGTTAGGGGTCTTAAGGACCTCCAGTCCAAGGAAATTGAGGGTCAGTCCCAAGGCCTTCTTTATGTGTATGTGATTACAAGAGTGGGAGGGGAGAATTTGCTGTCTACAATAATTACTTCCTTTAATATAAACAGAGCCGTTCTTACTTAAGCTTTCAAAGCCGTATTATTTATTTTTCTTCCACATGTCACATGAACTTTTCGTTAGATCTTCTTTATTGATTTGCGCAGCTGTGAGATGTTCATTTCCCAACTGATGGTGATCCATGGCTGATGTATCAATAGTAACCAGTTGTCAATCCCTGGGGCTCTTCAGCTCAAAGAAGCATGCGTCCTTTTTTAGTTTTGTGTGTGAACCCTGTGATTATGTGAGTAAGACATTCTAGTGAATAATTTTATCGAAATGTTATCAACGTTAAGATCTTTCACTTACAAGATGGAATGCAAGAACACAATTCAAGTGGTTTGACATCAAACTTGCTACTGCTTAATCACTTTCCAGGAATTTGCAATCCTGGAAAATGGTACAATAGGAGTTTTAGGACAATCCAGGATTTTCCAGGAACCATATGACTATACCTGCCAACTTTTTCTGAGATATAAGCGTGAGATTTTTATCCTGGGAGTGCTGGGATTTTTGAAGAAGACACGATCATTTCCGAAGATTCCCGAAGAAGTCCGAAGTCTTCCGAAGACGTCCGAAGTCTGCCGAAGTCTGCCAAAGGCGAGCTCGCTCCCAGTGCTTTTCACTTCAAAAATCAGAGATCGCGAGGAAGGTATTGCCATTTATTCATTTTACACATGGTTTTCTTTCCTTACATGGGTCTGAGTTAACATATTTTTGGAAATTGTGTCAAGCAGGACGGCAACAACTCACATTTTTCAATCAGGCGTGAGAAATTGGCCCACAGGCGTGAGCCGGCATGAGATCGAAGTTTTCAACCCGCAGGCGTGAGACTCATGCCTAAGGCGTGAGAGTTGGCAGGTATATATGACTCCTGCCATGGCTTACAATCTTACCCGCAATAGTACATGATGCAGCCCAGTGGGTTTTATTTGCCAGCAAATGAACAAAACAAATCTGTATTAATAAACCTGTTTTGTAATATAAAGCATCCCCTTCTCTTTTATATGGGAGTCCTCTCCTGGGATGGGAACATTCTTTTAATCATGCTTCAGAGTTCAAGTTAAGCTTAATTTTAATTCTTATACAGTGTACTCACGTACGACCCTCTCTCCTTTCAGATGCTTGTACACCATAATCATCTGCGCAGAAAACATCAATCCCATCATAGTATAAAGAAGACGGTTGTTGTGTTTATGTGCAAACAAACGCCATCGTAGCCAGATGCTCTTTTTTTCTCCCATTTTGGGTCGCAATACGAATGGACGAATACAGTAATTGCTAGAGTGCGTCCGCCATTATTTTTTTAGAAGAAATCGCTGACCACAATAGGCGCAATATTGAAGCCCAGTTTCTCTCTACCACTATGCGCTCAGTGTGAGTACTACCCCTATGCAAAGCTCGGAGAACGTTCTGAGAGACAAATCAACCTTTGAATTCGATGTATTTGAAGTAACAAACTGTGTAACTACAAAACATATTGGTCTTTCGGGTTTTCTATGGAAGTTCAGTCATGTCAGAAGTAGCGGAGCCAGGCGTAAAGCGAGTAAAATTAGCAGGAGATGCAGAGGGTCAAGGTACAGCTGAAACCAGCAAAGAGGCTGAAAAGGTGGGGAGTGATCTTCAGTTTTCCTACTTGTCACTTAGTTGCAAAACCAAGGGTAAAGTCAAAACATGTGTACCTCGTTCTTTACTTTGATAATCTTTCCTGGTAGAAATGAAGTTTTCCACAGGAGTTCAGTTTCTTTAAAAAAGGAAAATCCAAGGAGTTTACTTTGATAATCTTTCCTGGTAGAAATGAAGTTTCTAACCCTAACCCTAACCCAAAATTGTAGCATTGCACGCGGCAGGGTTGGGCCTACAAAGAGTTTTGCACCTGACTTTCAGGGGCATAACCATGATATTTTTTGCCAAATCTATCGTAACCTCCCGGTTCTCCCAGTTTCCACATCCCTTGCTTACACTTTTGCTTTCTCCTCAGTATGGTGAGGTTATATACAAACGAATGGACTGGCAATTTGTCTGTAATCTTGTTTGTAGCCTTTTTTTTGAGTGAACTGAATGGTAAAGCATCAACATACCAGGGGGGTCCGGGCTCCGCCCAGGAAAATTTGAAATTTAGCATCTAAAACAGCTGGAAATGTGCCTAAAAATCACATCCTTTTAATACTGAGCCTCTCTATGGGCATGCACCTGTATTCTGGCATAAAAAATTGTATTGCATGTGGTGCACGCAGCTAAAATTGGCTCTGCACGCACAAGATCTTGTTGAGTCCTGCCATACTCTGCAGAGTGGCAAACATTTAGGTCAAGAAACACTCCCTAATGTCCTGTTGTGTGACACATCCCTGTATAGGATCAGGTACATTGGAACCCCACCACGTGCACACAGTCGCCTCATACTGTGCACAAGTTAGTGGACAAAGTTGCCCTTGACCGTTAAAACTGATGACGTCACAAGCGGTAGAAAGGACATGGATGCGCACAGGCAGTTACGGGCAGCTTACAGGGGCGAATGGGTTAATCAATTTTTTGCATTTTGTTTTACCAAGTTTATGTTTATGCACATTCATATCTACCAGGTACCCAAAGAAATCTTACTGCATGAACTGGAAAGACTACAGAAAGTGTTGTCAAACATCTTGCTTGAAGCTAAAGAACACGTAAGAAATTCTGTTGAAGATTTCATTGAAGACAAAGTACGCAAAATGGGCCCAATGATAGGTCACTACTTCTCTACATTCCAATCATTAAATGTCATGACAAGAAAAGATATGGACCAGGCAGTTAAAAAAATGTATGGTTTCAAAAGTATCCGAGATGCAGAAGAGGAGCTGTTTCAAGCAGAGCAAGACTGGGACTCTTTCTTGAAAGAAGTAGATCATACGTTTGATCCTTTGTGTGGTTCAGTGAATGATACAGAGCTTGTCATTGGCTCATATGGTCCATGTGAACTTAAGTTAACTGATGTTTCTACAGAAAGGTTAGTGTAGTAGGAGATATGGTGATATGCGTGAATCCTGTGGACTTTCCCAAGGTGGCAGATCTAGGAGTGGCCTAAAATTGTGCAAAGCATTGAAGCTGTTTTATTACCAATCTGATTTCCACAATGTAGACCCTAAAAGTTAATCATTCAATTGGTAGTAAACGTTGAAGTTCAAAGAATTTCTAAAGAGTTCTTAATGACATCTGTGGGTAGCTTGGCCCAAGCATCTTAGATCCGTTGCAAAATAGGAACTTAAAGCAAATTGCTATGGTAACCTCTACTACAGTGGCTGGAAGTAAAAGAGCCCAAAAATGACTCACTGCACATGCTTGGAAATGACCCTTCGCCATAACGCCAAATCCTACAATGTGAAGATCGGTCTGATAATTAATAATTGTGGCATACTAGCTATTATGCATGAGTATAAAAGTCAACTTTTCTCCTTTTTTGACAATCGTCTGTTTCAAAACCTTTGATAGATTGTTTTTCACTTTATCAAGAAAGCATTTCAATGATGCTTCTGGTTTTCCAGTAATTATGTCTTCCCTGTGTTCTACTAAAAGCAAAAGCAAATGAGCGAGAAACCCCGTAGTCACTGTTTTTGGTGCCACTTGCTTCAAGTTGAAATTTGGCGGGCTACAGACTGACATACTCTCCTCAGGACTACGCATCCACAACTGCCATAGTAGAGATCGCTGTAGGGATTTGCTTAAAGGCCCCAAAATCTCTTCTTGGGGGAGCTTTCAGATTCTGAGAAGCAGTTTTTTTTTAACTTTATGGGTGAGTGGTGTTAAATTTTAATCACTTTCAACTGAAGAACACCACTTTCAATCAGAATATATTATTTTCGAATGCTGTGTTAGACTTGCTTAATCACAGTGGTTTTTTAGTTTGAATTTCTCCAATAAGTGCTGCATAGAGGCTATGGTGCTTCTTAACTCTTTTGTCCCAAATGTGGCCATTATTTGAGGGCAGTGCTTAATCAGGGGCAGGCTTATTCCAGTAAATTGGGTTGTGTATTATAAAAATCTTTCACAGTTTTCTTGAGCTCTCTGTGATGTCAATCATGCAATTTTTTTTTTTTATCATTGATTTGATGATCGAAATCAGTCATCAACTTTATACTAATATGGAAAATTTTCCAAATTTGGTTGGTGCTAGGTGGTTATGAAAAATTAGAAATGAATAATAAAGTGATTTTCTCTTCAAGGCAATTCACCATTCAAGACTTGCTAACCTCAGCATCCACTGTCTTCATACTTCTGCGTCATTTTGCATGACTGCCATGACGTAACCATGTGGCCCAAGTGGAAGCATGCAAAGCAGAATTTGAGGGCCATAATGGACAAGTTGTTGTAGTCACCTTTGGAAACGTGGTAAGCAGCAAATTAGCCTGCTTTGTTGACTAACTAAGCAGGTATATTGTCCTGACAGTGTCCATAGACGGCAGGCTGAACAGGGGCAGATCTAGGGGAAGGGTACAGGGGGTGTGCCCCCCAAACCCCCCCACCCGACATGACATGCGGCTTTCCAATACAACTGGTATTCTGTATTAGAATTTGTTTACATCACCAGTCAGTTACACCATTCTTTAGTGGCACACCCCCTCCTAAGAAAAATCCTGGATACACCCCATTATTATTTTATTTTATTTTCAGGCTGGAGCTAGGAGGTGGCTGAAGGACACAAACTGCAAACTGAGCATTTTTGTTGATCCAGAACGTCATCTCTACAACGCCCTTGGTCTAAGGCGATCAGTGGCAAAAAGTTGGAGTATACCTGCCCTTGTTTACTATGCAGAGCAAAAACGAGCTGGGAGAAAACTTGCAGCCATGTTTGAGGAGGATGATCCTAATCAGATGGGAGGAGATTTTATTTTAGATGAGCAGGGAAGAATGGCATTAATTCATCGCAGTAAAATTTCAACTGACAGACCCCCAGTTGAAGAACTCTTGAGTTGTGTCAAGGACCTGAATAGAGCAAAAGCAAACTTGTAATGATGTTAAGAGAAGAATTTAACGAAAGTATTGTAATTCAATTCTTTCTTAGTTAAACCCTATTTCCATTGTTTACACTAGATGCCATACATTGCCAACTGAAAAAAGCCGATGACGGCCATGGCATGATGGGTAATCAAAACTTAAGTTTTTCAATCTCTTTAGGGTTGTAATTTGACTTGATCAACTCAGTTGAAAAAAACATTTTTCTCTTTCACTGCCCCTTCGATGCAACACCACAGTTTCTTGAGAAAGTAACTCCTGTATACATATGTGTGACCAGTCGATTCACCCAACGGCGATTTGTCCGCAACAGAAGAGAGATTCAGAGTCACATTCATGGCAAACGGCAAATCTGAATTTGTACCAGGTGACCAAATTTCCCCTTAACTTGTGCTTTACTGTTTGTTACTTCTACCCCAAAATTAGTAGTTTCACGTTAGTTTTGTCGATAACTATTGTTTTGACTGTTTTTAGCTGCAAGCTTTCTAGTTTGAGAAATTCTTAACTTGAATCTTACATTTTCCGTTTGCCGTAAACGCCACTCTAAATCTCTCTAATATCGATTCATAAGTTGGAACAGTACATATTGCAATATCCAGCAGTTTCCTAGTGTAGCATGGTAAAATGATGGCTTTGACTAAAACACTTGTCATGAGGTCACTGCTTGAAGAATATGCTGCTGCACTTGTGGACTGCTCGAAATGTTTAATGTAGATGTTGGAATACCTCCACCCTTCTTTCTGTCATTGCGGTATAAGGTATAGCCAGGAATGGTGGATTGATTATCAGGGTATGTGGAATGTGGAATCAATTTTTGTTTCGCTGATAAAGATAATGTGAGCCTTTAGTTTTCTGATCATTGCAACAAGTTCCTCAAGTTTATTTTGAATACTATTAATATTCAGATGACATAGTAAGATATCATTATAGTTTTTCCTTTTATTCTCCAGTTGCTCATTATCTTGTAGAGCGTAAATGCCACGTAAGTTGTCATGACTTCCATCGTTACTCTCAGAATCAATAGATGAGTTAATTGTCGAGTTCGATGTTGTATTAGAGAAGGGAAAAACTGATAATAAACAGGGTAGACAGATCCAGCTAAAGCCATCCATCTATTGGAATTCTCTGTACTACTTTGGAGTAACATCACCACACGTTATGTGGCACCATGACTCACACTGGTCACAGCTTAATGCTCGATGGTTTCAAGCAACAGTTTTGAGGCAAACAGCGCAATTTTCAGGCCCTGGATTTACACTGATATCGCCGCTAACAATCAGACGAATTAGGTGAAAACTGCAATCTGAATTTCAGTAGTAGTTGACTCTTGAAGCAAAATATCCTTTGCCACCAGGAGAGGATACAAGGTGGCGGACATGCTTACAAAGGCATGCATACTACTTTTGTGGTGGAATTCCATCTGTGACGCCGCCAGAATTTGACCGGGAATGGAAAAGACCACTCCGTAGACTTCCCAATGTATTTTCACTCACATAGGATAAAGTAAGCGCTAGAAAAATGAAAAAAAGCTGGGAGCAAAGACAGGCTTGACTTCACGCCATTCTGACTGCTGACCAATACCTTATAAATACCTAATTTATATTTCTGTCTTATGAACACCAGTCATGCCACACTGAAGACATTTACAACTGAATGTGGAGCTTGATTCAGTGCTCACACTCTTTTTACAGTTAGGGGTCTTTAGGACCCCCAGTCCCAGGAAATTAAAGGTCCTTTTTACTTTTAAAGGGTCCCAAGGCCTTCTTTGTGTGTATGTGATTACAACAGTGGGAGGGGGGAATTTGCAGTCTACAATATTGTTAATTTCTTTACATAAACAGAGCCACTCTTTCTTAAGCTTTCAAAGTCGCACTTTATTTTTCTTACACATGTCACATGAACTTTTTGTGAGATCTTCTTTATTGATTTGCACAGCTGTGAGATGTTCATTTCCCAATTGATGGCGATCTAAGGCTGATGTATGGATAGTAACTAGTCCTTGTCAATCCTTGGGGCTCTTGGGCTCAAAGAAGCATCCATCCTTTTTTATTTTTGTGTGTAAAATATGCAGACGTGTGCGCTAATGGGAACCCTGTGATTATGTGAGGAAGATATTCTGGTGAATTTTATTGAAATGTTATCAACCTTTAGATCTTTCACTCACAAGATGAAATGCAAGAACACAATTTAAGTTGCTTGACAACAAACTTGCTACTGCTTATACACTTTCCAGGAATTTGCAGTCCTGGAAAATAGTACAATAGGAGTTTTAGGACAATCCAGGATTTTCCAGGAACCATATGAATCCTGCCATAGCTCACAATCTTACACTCAGTAGTAGGTGCTGGAGCTCAGTGGGTTTTGCCAGTAATGAACAAAGCAAACCTGTATTAAACCTGTTTTGTTATCTAAAGCATCCCCTTCTCTTTTATATGGGTATGGTATGGGAACATTCTTTTACTCAAGGCTGAGAGCTAGTGAGTACTCACATAGGACCCTCTCTCGATGCTCGTACACCATAATCATCTGCGCAGAAAACATCAATCCCATCATAGCATAAAGAAGACGGTTGTTGTGTTTGTGTGCAAACAAACGCCATCGGGGCGCAATTCACGAAAGGACGAATAGACGAATAATGCTAGAGTGCGTCCGCCATTTTTTTTTTTTTAAGAAATCGCTGACCACAATAGGCGCAATATTGGTGCCCGGTTTTTCTCTGCCACGGTGCTCTCAGTCACGATGTATCTTACGATGTATCTGAAGTAACAAACCGTGCAACTACAAAACATATTGGTCTTTCCGGTTTTCTATGGAAGTTCAGTCATGTCAGAAGTAGCGGAGCCAGACGTAAAGCGAGTAAAATTAGCAGGAGATGAAGAGGGTCAAGGTACAGCTGAAACCAGCAAAGAGGCTGAAAAGGTGGGGAGTGATCTTCAGTTTTCCTACTTGTCACTTAGTTGCAAAACCAAGAGTAAAGTCAAAACATGTGTGCCTCTTTCTTTACCACATGCACACAGTCACCTCATCATTATGGCCCCATGATTTGTCCTAGCAAATTGCCCATACATTTTATTTTAAGGAAAATGTCCTCCCTCTGAAATCCAAAGGTTTATTTTGTTGTACAGCAGCCAAAGCAATAAGAACAAAACTGCTTTCAGTGCTTTCCAAAGGGCAGACAAGTAATTAACATTTTAATGATACTAAATCTTGATAAAAAGTTACAACTTTCTTTCTAAGTTCCTCAAAGTGGTATCTTAAATAAGAAAAGAAAGTCGCCATGAAAATAAGACCCTAGCCTTGGCTTTTCCTGATCACGTACGGCACTACATTCAGACCGAATTGTCTTTCGGAGCGATCGCCGGTCCTTTCTCGACAAACCCGCTACGTAAGCCGCTAGTTTGTTCTCCACTTCAAACGGTTCCAAAAAGTGGTTCTTCCAAACGTCGAGTGGTCTTGGACTGGAGTTTTCCACCAACATTTTCTGTCAATAGTGGCATTCCATCGAACTCCTACCAGGATTCTCCATTCAAACTCCGACTACCGGGCATCGACCGTTTGTGCGAACTCATTTTGGCTAAAGGCCAGGGTTGTTGCGTTTACAAAATAGACCTTCAACGCGCTTATCGCCAGTTTTCGATCGACCCTAAGGACCATTATCTGTTGGGCTTCACATTTGACAATCATATTTATTTTATAACATAGCTAGATAATTCGCGAAATCAAAGCGTGCTTCATATTCCTATTGAGCACGCTGATGACGTTAATAAACTATTCGTAACTCCTCGAGTTGTTGTGAGCTTAGCAATCCCGAGTCTCCTGAGTGCATCCATAACTCAGCAATACACAATGAAGCGTTTACCATGTGTTTTATAAGGAAATTTAAGAGGAAACGTTTGAATTTGTTAACCGATAGTAAGGAAAACAGGTGAGTGTTGTTCAGTTGTTGTTGTCATCTCCGCGAGCTGTACGGGCTATGGCGTGAGATCATTCAGTTTCAAAGTTGTTTTCTCTCAATAACAATTTTTCGGTAAATTAATAGTTTTCCGGCACCTAAATACGGATTTTACATTCATTTTAGAGTACACTTTCTCTCAGTTTCAGGATAAAAACATAAGAAAATATAGGCACGTAAACATTGACGCGTACTGCTTTGAGCGCGCTCTACAATAATAAAATTTTAAGTTAACTGCTGCATTGATCGCTTTCATGTTATAAAACAATTAGTTCATGCTTCAGCAGTGCGTATGTCGAGATATTGAGCACGCGGGAAGTTTGGCGAGCACTCAAAAGGCCAGAGTTGCTCTCGGCTGCGCCTCGAGCTACTCTTACGCCTCTTTCGTGCTCTCCAAACTAACCGCGTGCTCAATATCTCGGCATACGCACGCTGACGCATGAATTGTTAATTGACTCGCGGTGTCCTTTTGGTTTACGGACCTCGGCCATGATCTGTCAAGGAACAACTAAAGCCGTCATATATATTTTCACGCAAGCCGGCTTTTCCGCCGATGTTTACCCCCGGTGGGGGTACTCCCATACGTTACCTATACGGTATGTGCCGCCCGACGTAGCCTGTTCCAGGCGTTCAGATAGTAGAGCGCGGCAGTAACGGGGGAGCGAGTTAAGTTGTACACCGGGAAAACGGGGGGGGGGACGGGGGGGGCTAGTCTCCCTTCTTTTTTTTTTCTTCGTGAATTTTTCTCCCGCGCACTACTATCTGAACGCCTGGAACAGGCTACGCCCAACGGGGTCGTGATTTTGAAGCTCCTGATTTAGAACGGGTTATCCATTTCAGAGGCGTTTCCTAGAACGGGGTATAATATTTCGAACGCACGAAAGCTCCAGTTTTGTAAGCAGCCACTTGAAATTATTCAAGAACAGATTGCTTTTAAAAATACGGTTCAATGCGTTAACAAACAAACTGTTATACTCTTGTTGCACCCCAGAATGGAGTATAAAAAATTGGCCCATTTCTAGAACGGGGTATCAGTTTTAGGGCGAATTCTAGAACGGGATATAAAAAATTGGTCCATTTCTAGAACGGGGTATCAATTTTAAGGGAATTTTTTTTAGAACGGGGTGTCAATTTGGAGTCCAGGGCGGCACATACCCACCCAAAAAATACCCAAGTGCCCTCCCGGGTGTTTACCTAGACGATTTTTACGGCGCTGAATGTCCGTCGCTGGCTGACAATGCCTTTGCTACGCTGCAATTTATTTTCGATACCCTAGGCTTAGCCTCTTCGCCTGAAAAAGATTCACCGCCGGCCTTTGTGATGGTTTCCTTGGGTAACCTCGTCAATTCCAAGGATTTTACATTACGTGTTCCAGAGTCGCGGCTTCGTGAATTATCCGATGAGTTACATTTGTGGTTGTCACGCGAGCGCTTTACCGTCAAAGAACTGCAGTCTTTGCTCGGTAAACTTTCTTTCGTGTCTGCTTGCGTCCGCGCTAGTCGGATTTTTCTATCTCGCCTCTTGAACACTTTGCGTAGTTTCCCTTCCAACGCTAAATCTCATGAAATCTCAACTAGTCACGTTGGAAATGCGTCACGACTTGGCTTGGTGGCAAACTTTTCTTCGCCTTTACAATGGTGTTTCGGTTATCAAGCTTCAAGCCAGCCGACTGGTCCTTTGCTAATTTTCGTTTCACCACGGATGCTTGTCTGACTCGCGGCGGAACCACGTGCCTCGACAAATGCCTTACATTCCCTTTCCCGGATTTTGTCCACCACGCCGCGTCTCACATCTCTGCTCTGGAACTCTTCACTGTTATTGTCTCGGTTAAGCTCTGGGCCACAGCATTGCGACATCAGCGATTTCTCGTCTCCTGCGACAACGAGGCGGCAGTTACTGTGATCAATTCGGGCTCCACCAAGGATCCTTTCATGCAGCGCTGTTTGCGCCAGTTGTGGTTCACTTCAGGGCTTCATGATGTTGCCCTCCGCGTCCGGCATATTCCCGGCGAGCATAACACATTAGCCGATGCCTTGAGTCGTTGGGATGCCCATCACGTATCGCCATTTTTGCCAGTTTCTTTCGCGGGTCATTCAAGCGATCGGCTTAGTTCCGGCCCATTACTCTCCCCATAGTTTTCGTCGTGGCGGCGCGAGTTTCGCCTTTCGGTGTAATGTTCCGGCGGAACTTATTTAGCGGCAAGGTGATTGGCAAAGTGACGCCTATCTAGTTTATCTCAGAATGTCCTCAGCTCAAAAGAGACAAGCAGTAAATTCCATGGCCGCCCAGATTTTTCTTTTATCTCGAAGTTCTCACTAGCATGTCTTTTTTCTATAGCTATATCTATATACCCAAATATATTATCTTTGTCGCTCTATAATTAATATCTCTTTTTTCTCTCATTCACGTCTCTTCGGTTTGGGCCTTTTTTTTTCGTTTGGCGAGTCTATTGATTCAGTCACGACCTTTCGCGTTAGTCAGTGTATAGCGGTCGATTCTGACTCCATGAATTGTTGGCCCAAACCTCTTCTCGTGTGGTTATTGAGAGTGCGTGATTTTTTTGCATTTTGTTTTACCAAGTTTATGTTTATGCACACTCATATCTACCAGGCACCCAAAGAAATCTTACTGCATGAACTGGAAAGACTACAGAAAGTGTTGTCAAACAACTTGCTTGAAGCTAAAGAACACGTAAGAAACTCTGTTGAAGATTTCATGGAAGACAAAGTACGCAAATTGGGCCCAATGATAGGTCACTACTTCTCTACATTCCAATCATTGAATGTCATGACAAGAAATGATATGGACCGGGCAGTTAAAAAAATGTATTGTTTCAAAAGTGTCCGAGATGCAGAAGAGGAGCTGTTTCAAGCGGAGCAAGACTGGGACTCTTTCTTGAAAGAAGTAGAACATACGTTTGATTCTTTGTGTGGTTCAGTGAATGATAAAGAGCTTGGCTCATATGGACCGTGTGAACTTAAGTTAACTGATGTTTCTACAGAAAGGTTAGTGTAGTAGGAGATATGGTGGCATGCATGAAGCCTGTGGGCTTTCCCTAGGGGCAGATCTAGGAGGGGTCAAACTTGTGCAAAGTGTTGAAACTGTTTTATTGCCAATCTGATTTCCACAATGTAGACCCTAAAAGTTAATCATTCATTGGTAGTAAATGTTGAAGTTCAAAGAATTTCTAAAGAGTTGTTAACGACATCTGTGGGTAGCCTTGCCCAAGCCAGCCCATCTGATAGGTTGCGATAAAAAATCAGAAATTGTGCAATAAGATAGCACTATTACGCAATAAATTATGCAGTTTTTTCAGGGCTAATTAACATTGTTTTACCAGGTTTCAAAGGAGAAAAATCACTTTAATGTTGTTTAACAGGCAATTTGAATGTTAAATAATAATAAAACATCTATTTTAAAACAAATCAGTTAAATTTGTCCAATTATCTTACCCGGAAAAGAAAACAAAATTTGTTTTTCCGGATAGAAAAAAAGAAAAAGGACACCTGTTTAACATTACATGATGCCGTTACACTGCTGACCACACTGCATGTCTCTGAAATCAAAATGGCTGGCCAGATACTGCGATCGAAGGTTTCAGATGTCTTGCAAGGCTTTTTTTAGTGCTAAATCGCCTTAAGTAACATAAAGATTGGAAAAATATTTGATTAAAGTTAGAATTTATTGTTGGCTTTACTTGAATTTAGCATTTTTTTTATGAATTATGAGATTTTCCTCAAATTGTACAATTAGATGCAATTTGAGGTGAATTGTGCAAAGTCGCACCATTGCGTAATATAAGATGGCCTAAAAAGCATCTTAGACCTGTTGGAAAATAGGAACTTAAAGCAAATCGCTATGGCAACCTCTACTACAGTGGCTGGAAGTAAAAGTGCCCAAAAATGACACACTGCGCCTGCTTAGAAATGACCGTTCGCCATAGCGCCAAATCCTACAACGTGAAGATCTGTCTAATTGTGGCGTACTCGCTATATAGTGCATGAGTATAAAAGGTAACTTTTCTCCTTTTTCCACAATCACCGGTTTCAAAACGTTTCATAGATTGTTTTTCACTTTATCAAGAAAGCATTTGATTCTTCTGGTTTTCCAGTAGCTATGTCTTCCCTGTGTTTTACTAACGGTGAAAGCAAATGATCGAGAAACCCCGTAGTCTCTGTTTTTGGTGCCAGTTGCTTTAAGTTGAAATTTGGCAGGCTACAGACTGATGTACCCTCCCCAGGGCTACGCATCCACGACTGCCGTAGTAGAGATCGCTGTATTGATTTACTTAAAAGTCCCTAAAATCTCTTCTCGGGGGAGCTCCAGATTCCCAGAAGCAGTTTTTTTTTTTGCAAGAATTTTGCAAGAACTTTAAGGGCAAGTGGTGTTAAAATTTAATCACTTTCAACTGAAGAACATCACTTCCAATCAGAATATATTATTTCCTAATGCTGCGTTAGACTTAATTAATCACAGTGGTTTTCAGTTTGAATTTCTCCGATAAGTGCTGCATCGAGGCTACAGTGCTTCTTAACTCTTTTGTCCCAAATGTGGCCATTATTTGAGGGCAGTGCTTAATCAGGGGCAGGCTTATTCCAGTAAATTGGGTTGTGTATTATAAAAACCTTTCACAGTTTTCTTGAGCTCTCTGTGATGTCAATCATGCAATTTTTTCTATCATTAAGTTGATGATTGCCATCAGTCATCAACTTTATACTAATATGGAAAATCTTCGAAATGTGGTTGGTGTTAGGTGGTTATGAAAAATTAGAAATGAATAATAAGTGATTTTCTCTTCAAGGCAATTCTCCATTCAAGACTTGCTAACCTCAGCATCCACTGTCTTGGTACTTCTGCGTCATTTTGCATGACTGCCATGACGTGACCATGTGGCCCAAGTGGAAGCATGCAAGGCAGAATTTGAGGCCCATAACGGACAAGTTGTTGTCGTCAGCTTTGGAAACGTGGTAAGCATCAAATTAGCCCAGGTATATTGTCCTGAGGGTGTCCATAGACAGCAGGTTGAACAGGGGCGGATCTAGGTGGAGGGTGCAGGGGGTGTCCCTCCACTCCCCCCGAGATGACCTGCGGCTTTCTAGTACAACTGGTATTCTGTACTAGAATTTGTTTACGTCACCAGTCAGTTACGCCATTCTTTAGTGGTGTACCCCGCCTACGAAAAATCCTGGATCCGCCCCTTTTCAACATTAATATATAGATTTAGCCAGAGCTAAAAGCGAAGCTCTCGTAAATATCTTTAGTTTACTGAAACAAAATATTAAATCGTGTAATGCTAAGCGGCAACGGCAACAAAAACAGCCAAAAAAGCAGTAGGTCTAATTAGCAAAAAACATCTTTGTACGTGCAGCACACCTTTTTTGTACATTTTTGCACAGCGACAACGTTAAACTTCCAGAAACTTCCGAGTTAACACGTTTTGTGTAGGAAATTTTGTATGTGGTCCTGTTCACTTTTTTTTCAATGCAGCTTATTTTTACCTTTGTGGCCTCTAGCATTTCTCATTTTCTCACCCCCGGTATAAAATTTTCATGTTATTCTTCAAACGAAATTGGTTGCTCTTTCTCTATTATCCAGGCCAATGTAGACATTAAAATTAAGTCGAAAGAAAGAATCGGCTTTGTTGTTGTTGTGTTTTATCTCTAAAAGTCCTGGTGGCTATGCGATGTACCGCTTAAACCCACTTAAATTTCACTCCGGCTTACATGAAGAGGTGGACGCACGTACGGACGTACTCCATATGGACGATTTTCTCAGAACCAAAATTTCTCGGATGCAAAGATTACCAAATTTTTCTTACCCATGGTGCTCCGCTGCGCGCGCTTGGCTCGCGAGAACTCCGCTATCATTTTATTTTATTTTCAGGCTGGAGCTAGGAGGTGGCTAAAGGACACAAACTGCAAACTGAGAATGTTTGTTGATCCAGAACGACATCTTTACAGCGCCCTTGGTCTAAGGCGATCATTGACAAATGCTTGGAGTATATCTAAACTTGTTTTCTATGCGGAGCTGAAACGAGCTGGGAGGAGGATGTTTGAGGAGGATGATCCTAATCAGATTGGAGGAGATTTTATTTTGGATGAGCAGGGAAGATTGGCATTAATTCATCGCAGTAAAACTCCAACTGACAAACCTTCAGTTGAAGAACTCTTGAGTTGTGTCAAGGACCTAAATAGAGCAAAAGCAAACTCGTAATGATGTTAAGAGAAGAATTTAACGAAAGTATTGTAATTCAATTTTTTCTTAGTTAAACCCTATTTCCATTGTTTACACTAGATGCCATACATTGCCAACTGAAAAAAGCCGATGACGGCCTTGGCAAGACGGGTAATCAAAACCTCAGTTTTTCAATCTCTTTAGGGTTGTAATTTGACTTGATCAACTCAGTTGATAAAACCATTTTTTTTCTTTCACTGCCCCATCGATACAACACCACAGTTTCTTGAGAAAGTAACTCCTGTGTACGTATGTGTAACCAGCCGATTCGTCCAATGGCGATTTGTCCGCAATAGAAGAGAGATTCAGAGTCACATTCATGGCAAACGGCAAACGTGAATGTGCACCACGTGACCAAGTTTCCCCTTTACTTGTGCTTTACTGTTCATTACTTCTACCCCAAAATTAGTAGTTTCACGTTATTTTTGTCGATAACTATTGTTTGGACTATTTTTAGCTGCACGCTTTCTTTAACTTGAATCTGACATTTTCCGTTTACCGTAAACGTCACTCTAAATCTCTCTAATATCGATTCATAAGTTGGAACAGTACATATTGCAATATCCAGCAGTTTCCCAGTGTAGCATGGTAAAATGATTGCTTTGACTAAAACATTTGTCATGAGGTCACTGCTTGAAGAATATGCCGCTGCACTTGTGGACTGCTCGAAATGTTTAATGTAATGTTGGAATGCCTGTTTTTGGTTTGCTACGATTTCATAAAAATATTTTTAAGTACACGACTGTTCCCGGCTATTTTTGTATCTTGTCTTCTATACTGCATTCCTGTTTGCATGATTATTCTGGATGAAGTCTTAACGGTTTCTCGCAGTCCTTTCTATAGTTATCTTGTTTACCACTTTTGTTCAGTTTAGCTTCCTCCCATAACTTTCCCTTCAGACTCCGCCAAAAGAATCGTGGCTATCCTAAGTTTGTTAGTAACACAAGTCAATAAGATGTTCTCAGTTCGACTGTCAACGCGAGAGAATTGTGTCCTTTTTCACATCCTGTTTTCTTCATTATTACCACCACAACCCAGGCTGTAAAGAAAAGCCTTACTCAAACCTTAACTATTTAAAATTGACTCCGAAACATTCATTCACATCCTCTTTTTATTTATTTAGAGCGGACTGGAAAAACATTATGAGCTTTCTTGTTAGAGCGCCAATTAATTAACATATGATGATCAACAATTTCATGTCAATATCATTCGCAAGATGTGTTGTGCCTACGTGGATAAACCGAAATTGTTGGTTTTCTCCCTTGCTCTAAGAGATTTTTCTTTGGCTGCTCTGTTTTCCCTTTCCTCAACCAACATTTCCAAGTTGCATTTCACCCCGGAATTCTGACGGAGGTGGAAGAGGAAGAACCATTTTGTGGACTCGCAACCATTACACTATTATTTATTCATTTATATCTATAGTTATATATTTATCTATTTATTTATTTATTTACCTATTTTTAGTTAATGACTAAGTTAAGAACGTATTTTGTTCTCTCGGTGGTGCAACAGTTACATGATGATCGATTCATTTCGCCGCCACATTACCAGTTCATCTTTGAGATGAGTCAAGTAATATAAATTTGAAGCGCAACCACCCCTGACAACCTTTTTTTCCGAAACGGTGCATTTCAGTATTCAAATTTGCTCTCAAAAGTTTGAGCACAATTTTGAGCAAATAAAGTATTCACCAACGCACCTGGTGCTAGTTAATCCAGCCAATCACGTGCCACGCTGGTAGCGCATATCAGAGGCGACCAATCAGAGGTATCCTTCCAGTTCAGGTGACTTAACGTAATTGCATTTAAGCTGCTTTCCAGGTTTGCAAAGCCCGAACTGCAATAACCCTTTGGGATATTTCCGTAGCCAGAAGCACACCTTTACCGCGGTAGATATTGATTTGCTGAAGGCAGATCTTTGCAAAGAGTCGACGTACATTGAAGACGAAAGGCACATACAGTTAATTTTTACACAGAAACAGTGATCATCTTTGTATTGAAGCTGTAAGTTTAATTTTCACGTACGTTTTGTGACATGCGATTTGAATACCGAAAGCCCTCCTAAATTTCTACAAAAGACTCCCCCCTCTTGTAATCTTGAGTCTTTTTCAATGACGTGGAATAAAGTTGACTTGCAACTCGAAAGTAACAAAACTCAGAGTGCACATTATAAATGTTTATCTTACGAGCGAAAACCTTAGTTCAAGATTGATTCCGGGTTAGAGCCCAATTTTTTTCTGCGTTTTCTCTGGTTCTAATTTGTCAAATTTGCCCGCTTTGGCCGCGCTCCTTTGTCAGTTGATCATCTTCGATCGAGCCGTACGAAGTCTTATCGGCAATACGGAGCGAAATAGAAAAATTGCTGACTGAAGTAATATCGTATGAACTTCGCAAGCGTCTGTTCACACGGGTTAAGATATATTCAGCCCCCTTTGACACATTTCAAAGTCCATGCACCATCCGTATGCAACTTCAAGTGACCAGCTTGCTCATAGTTTTATGCTTTGGGCTGAAAACGCCGTGTTGATAAAGATAGAGTTATAATTGTTCTATGAACAAGCGACATAATTTATGTATGTTGGTGGTTGAACTGTATGAAAAGAGGTAAGAACGAAAAACACCTGCGGCGGAGATGTACCTTATATACTCATATTGATATTTAACTTCCCATATTAAGATTAAACATTTATAAACTGGACGCTTTTAATGCCATGAGCTTCTTTTATTACTCTTTTTATGCAGCCCTCTAATTATTTGCTTGTGTTTGGAAAACTTTATTCATTTCAAATGTGCCGGAAGACTAACTGACCAGATTGTACTTATAATAACGACAGATGTTTTTTGTTTTTTCATCTTCCAAAAATAATTTCCATTTCTACTCTTAGCTTGTTAGTGCATGTAAACCCACTTGGTGACACTTCTGCAACATTTATCTACATATCATTTCGCTGACTAATTATTTTTCCAACGAATACGCTTTTTTTCACCGCTAAAGCATGAATCCAATGTAAACCCGGCAATGTGGAAGCCTCTAAGACACGAAAGATCAGAGATCAAATAGCCTGAACTTCTTTGAAAGGCTGATTTTTAATAAACATATATTCTGAACCTCTTTCCTCTTTTTATCTTAACGGCCTTCAAATACGCAGATTCCTGGGAGTCAAGCTAACGGCACTTCACAAGAACTTACTTTCAAAAACTCTTTAATCATTCGCAATGAAAAAACAGAAGAAATTAATGTTTGATGAGTGTTTTTATATCTGATAAAGACACGGCTAAACTTTACGTCCAATTTTTTTGGACCAAACTAACCCCAAATCTAAATATTAGTGCAACTGACAATGAGTTGATCTATATCAGAGATTTTGAAGCCGTTCAAAAAACTCGCAGTCGTGTATTCAGCTGCATGTGTATCGTCAGGTTTAAAAACCCGAGGCGAAGGCGAGATTTTTTAAACCTGATAATACACCTCTACTCGTTTTTTAAACAGTACTTTAATATCGTCGATGGCTGACCATGCACAACCTGACTTCCTGACCCTGATGATGAGTTTAGGTTGTCGAAATGTCAGTCCTTGTCACCGATACCCCTACTCAGGACTACAATTAGCCCGCCTGACAATTTTATTTAAGCTACACTGTAGTCAGGTGAGTTTCAATCCTGGTAATGCCACTGAGGCTTAATTCCATTCTGAGCTGAATAACTAATAATATACTTTTTCTTTATAGGAAAGAAAATGCTTCAATGCAAGGTCATTTTGATAATTGTAAGCATCAAATTAATCTGACAGCATTATGTTGAACCGATATCTCCTTAACAACATATAAATATCTGTTAAGACCTGTTAACGTTACTTTAATGAACGTCAACAAAGTACAAGCAGGGGAGACCCAGAATACTAATGCCTGTGAAATTAGGCACTCAGTTATACAGCACTAACACTCGTATCTTTTGTTCAGCCTTAATTAGTGCATAGTTCATAGTTTTCATGGCTGGATCCAGAGATTTCCAAAAAAGAGGATCGTAACTGAGCTTTAGTTCTTTTCACATCTCACTCCCCTTCTTCCAGTGACCGGAGAATTCAAATTATTCGCTGTGTTAATATTTATTGATTACGTGTGCAGATATCAAGGCTCTAGGAAAACGTTGATTTTTACAATGTTCTTTATTCGTTATCTTTCTTACAATTTTAACATATAAAACAAAAATCCCAATCAAAAAGTGGTTGTCGCTGTTTCGCCCTCTTACCCTCATCCTTGAATTTCACATCTGGCAGTCATTTTTAAGTTTCGAATCTATCAGTTCATTTTCACAATTCTTTCTCCTCCACAATGGCCCCTTAGGCTAGTGAAAGGGGAGAATAAACGGTGCGCCCTTTCGTCCACTGGGCTTTCTTTTCTTTTCTTTTTCTTTACTATTTCGATTTAATTGGGCTATACAGAGAGAGGTCACTTTTAATACACTGATGGTTTGCTGACTTGGAGTTATAAACTCTTTCAGTTTATTTGTACCAGCATTCTCGATTTCGTTCTCACCCACGAGCCGGGGAGGAGAGGCCATGGTGGAGGTCAGCATCGCCAAAGAGGGCAAACACGGAGAGGTGAGAAAAATCTTTAATGTCGCAACAAGAAATCATTAAACTTACGCATAAAGCTGCTCTGTTTTAGTTGAAACAATGATTTTGAGTTACCAAAATCACACAGTCCATACCGTATTTAATGCTACCCTCAAATAAACACCACAGAAAGGAGAGAAATTATTAACAAACGCCGCTCTCGAATTAACACCGTATTCAATCAGACGAATGCGGCGTTAATTCGAGGATTATGTACTATTGTCAATATTAACCTTGTTACACGATGAGAAAGTTATAACAGTATTAGTGATGTTACCAGCACTTCAGTTAAATTCATTAAGCGCTCTGCTAAACAATCTGATATATGGTCAGCTTCAGAGCATTAATACCTTTAATGTCTGACGAGTTAGCATCATCAGTAAGTCTGGCAAGCACCATTATATCAAAAATATTAATGTCTTATATGTTATTACTAGCTATGGAGCATTAAAGAGTATGATTTTCTTCAGTATATTTTAGCCTTCTCAGCACTTGTGTATAACAATATTACGGTGTTTATATATGTTAGTCTTAGCAGCTCTAAAGCAATAAAGAGTACGATTTTCTACAATATATTTTAATCAAATCAGCACCTTTGTATTACAAATATTATTAGTGTCTTATATGTTAGTCTTACCAGCTCTAAAGCAATTAAGAGTTGCTGGAGAGTTTGATTGCCTCAATTATGTGGAGCTCGGAATTGTTTGTAACATTTCCGGTGTTAGAATTCTCCTTCTTTCAAATATTAAAAGTCTTAGCAGCACGCGTCTAATACGTTGGTCTCTACAAATCTAGAGTATCAGTCTTATTAGTAACAGTGTACTGACAATACAATAGGGTTAAAAGCTGCAGTGTATTACAAACATGACCCGAGCCTGATATATTAGTCGTATTACCACTGCTTGTTAACAATATTAGTGTCATATGGAAATCCGAGCTCCCTAACACCAGTATATTTAACAATGGGCACCCAACGTATTAGCAGTGTTATAGTACCCCATGTGTTAGTCCTACCAGTAGCAATGTATTACTAATATCAGTGCCATATGTAATTCTTCCCGACACCTGTGAAAAGTTAGGCCCAGCGTATTAGCGCGCAGTGTTAGTCCTACCCGAGTGTAAATTAACAGATTTAGCCTCTTTTATAAAAATCTTCCCAACACCTCGCCAGTTTGACCCAGCGTATTAGCGCGCAGTATTAGTATTTTATCGGTGTTAGTCCTTCCAGCACCAGTGTAAATTAACAATTTTAGCATCTAATACACAAGTATTCCAACACCTGTATAATTAACAGCTAGACGGCCCAGCATATCAGCGCGCAGTATAAGTGCCTTGCGTTAGTCCTACCAGAGCCAATGTATTAACAATATTAGTATCTTATATGCAAGTCTTCTCCACACCAGTATACTGAGTGTCTCATGTGTTATTCCTACCAGCAGCGATGTATTAGCAATATTAGTTTTCAGGTGTTAGCCTTACATGCACCAATGTATTAACAATATTAGTATCTTATATGCAAGTCTTCTCCACACCAGTATACTGAGTGTCTCATGTGTTATTCCTACCAGCAGCGATGTATTAGCAATATTAGTTTTCAGGTGTTAGCCTTACATGCACCAATGTATTAACAATATTAGTATCTTATATGCAAGTCTTCTCCACACCAGTATACTGAGTGTCTGATGTGTTATTCCTACCAGCAGCGATGTATTAGCAATATTAGTTTTCAGGTGTTAGCCTTACATGCACCAATGTATTAACAATATTAGTATCTTATATGCAAGTCTTCTCCACACCAGTATACAGAGTGTCTCATGTGTTATTCTTACCAGCAGCAATGTATTAGCAATATTAGTGTTCAGGTGTTAGCCTTACATGCACCAATGTATTAACAACATTAGTGTCTGACATCAATCTTGCCTGCATCACCACTTGAACAGCATTACTAGTGTCTGATGTGTTAGTCTTCTCAGCAGAGTTTAAGCAGTAGTGTAATAAAAACATTAACATCAGTTGTGTTATGCGTTAGTCGTCAGATTAACAATGGGCGAGCAGGGGCGCATTATATCGGAGTCTTACCATGAGCAATAGTATTAGCATTAGCTTTAGACACTTATCGCTATAACATCAGCAGTCCAAATATTTATTAGCATTAAGACATTATAAACTAGCGCTGCATTGACACAGGAATTCGCATCGTCGTTAGTATAAGAATTATGAACATCGCCATGACATCTGATAAGTAATTAGCATTATTAAAGATAGCTTTTATATCACCTGCACGATTAACAGCGCCACTATTCAATCATGAATTGTTCAGTTATAATGGTGAGTCCTAAGTCCTCGTTTATTCTGTACGATCTAGCGTACTATCGTCAGGATGGAAAAGAAAATATTTGCGAGATTGGAATTTTTGTAAGAAACTTATCTAATCTAGATTGCTACCTGAATTATCCGCATACGGCGGTTGCCTCAACATATTCAGTGGGACTACGGTTTTGAATCACATTAGGAGCACTATAAGAGTAAATCTTGTTATACTTATGAGTATTAACCTATATTGTAAATTATAGGCATAAGCACAGGCAGGTTCAATTAATCAATGTTGGCATTCAATTGAGTATCAGCATCAACTGATATCTACACCAGTATTAGCATCAATATTACCATCAGCATCATATTAATGCAGTGATCGGCACCAGCCTCGTTATCGGTAAAGGTAATAGCATAAGAATAAGCATTATAACCAGCATAAGCACCACATAAATAACATAAGCCATGAGGGATAAGTTAACAATGGCGCTGATCAGCCTTAAGGTCATTTTGCATTTAGCAATCTGATGGCACTGGCGCTGCAAGTTAAAATGGCGTTAACACTTTGTCTTGCAATGGAAGGGAATACAGTGAAGATGAAAGAAAATGAACTGTTAGTACAGACGCCGGAAATTTTATAAACAGAGTTAACAGCAAATGGCTTATGTGGAGTCGAACAAAACTCAACTTAGAACAGCATTCGCATCTGGGTTATATGAGGGCCTAGCTGGGATGTTATCAACCTTTCTTCATGACTGTTACATGGAAGTTAGCGTTAAGTATTAGAGTGGGTTTTGGGTACGTTTTGGTTACAAGAACTAAAATGAGACAAAAGAATAAGGCCGCTTACGAAAAACTGCCATTGACGCACAGAACCTACAAGGTTCTTGTTCGCGAGTCTGACATTTTGGAGTGATGGTATACTTAATTGCTGAACATGTCGATTATCTTGTCATATTAGTTGGATTTACTTTTACGATGAAATTTTTACCGTTAACCGTTAACTGGCCTAAAGTTTAGCTAAGTTTTTAATGTTAGCTGCTCTCAGATACTGCTTAATTAACACCCCATCTTGGTTCACTTGTGTGGAGAAGATCTAATAGATAATTTACACTACAAGGCCACTTTAGAAATGAATGAAGTATACATGGACGTTAGCAATGATTTTATTGATAATGATCAGGTTAACAGCTTACGATCAATGAAGTGTCAACAAGCGATTTATATGGAGGCAATTGAAAGTAAGTGTAAGCTCTATATAGATGTTGATTAAGCATGTTGGGCAAGCATGAGTTAACAAGTCATTTGTCGCTTTAGATGCTTGAAGCCTTTTTGTTCAACTTACCGAGTTAGTTTCTTAGTAGTTAAAAATAATCAGTTCAGTTATGAAGACCTTGATAAAGGTATGCGTCAACATCAGTGAATTACAACTGACTCGCTGAATAAAATAACTAGTAAATTTTAAGTCACGTTCGAGTTATTAAAATTATACTTGAAGTATTTAAGAAAAGAGTCTATTCAATCAAGATTGCCACTATCCAGGTAACTGTGTCATGATCATCTCTTTCCGCTCACTGTCGTCCCTCATGGTGCCTCTGAGCTGAGTAACAGCCATCTCACGCCTTTTCGCCGCTGTGTAGCGTTGTTACTTAAATGTAAGTGTTGCTTTTCTGTAATAACAAGCAGTGATATAAAATCTCAAACTTTTAAAATTATATTTGGTTATCAACTACGTTTGATAATGAATTTAGGTTAAATAAATGAAGAGCAAATGCCGCGTTCGCCACGCCTCGTTCATAAAGCACCTGTTATAGCAAGCTAAATACGTGGAGAAATCCCAAACAGGGCGGGTCCTACTGAGTGACAATGAAGATCGAATTTTCCCTCAAAGCCTGTCATTTTATATAGCTAACTCTGACATTTAACTCGTGCTGACTTGGATCATTTTTTACCAGTAGAAATGAGCACTTTGATGAAGATAAGATGCATCAGTTCCAACAATGCAATACGACATTTATAAGCTGCCATGAAATGTACTAAGTGTATTTGCGTTTTACTGAGCACCAACAGTTCATTCAAGTGGACTATTTTCTTGTTTTTCTTTATTGTGTGCTAGTGCGTACTTGAACCGAACTGGCACCCATTTATAATATAGCGCTGTATTTTTGTCGTTTATCTATGAAGCCAGGTATGAACACAGATCGATGTGGGTTAAAAAATATTTTTTTAAAGTTTGCTGGCTTTCACCTAGTACTCACACGATCCTGGTCTCCACGATTGCATTCAAAAAGATGTCCGCTAGACAAACTGGTTAACCGCCTGTGAGTGGTATTCACGCTTAATTGACTGCTTACAGAGTATCATGGCCTTTTGAATTCGCACTGTAACTCGTCTTGTTGTTTAACAACAAGCGGTTGAAAACCAGTGTTCAGTAGTTGACCAGTAGGCTGTACATTACAGTTCAGCTCCTTGTCTCTCGGGTGCGATGTCTGGCAGTCATTCTGTTTTATAAAGGAAACAAAAAACTGAAATCGATATTTTTTAATTCAAAATATCGCGATAAACTTGTTTGAAAAGACCTGAAAAGCCATTTAACATATACTTTTTCATTTTCGGTAAAACTTCCATTACTGATACCTTTCACTGGTTTTGCCGGTTCTTCTGTGCTCTGGCGTTGTAACGCTTTTAGCCCATACTTGACTTCTGGCTTCACTCCTGAAATCCGGCTAGAGCGCTAGCTAACTAACGTGCTAGCACCATCTTGCTGTTGATTGAAAACAAAAGGTAAATGGCATCAGGAATATGTAAGGGCGTACTTAAATTTAAAAGAAAAATGCGTTTCAGTTTAATAACTTACTAAGCTCTCATAAGATAGGTGACCCTCTCTGTAGAAGCTAGCTTATCGCTTGGTAGAAGTTTTAAGATGACCCATTATTACTCACAGTTTGTTTTACGCAACATTTGTCAATTGTAAACACGAGATGAAATCATATTTGATGGTTTCCGCATCTTGAGCTTTCATTGGTTGCAGACTGAAATAGTTGATGTAGTCAACTATTCACGCGTTGTTTTGCTCATGGCTGTTTAAGTGGCGATAGAGGTAAACATAACAGGTAGTCGAGTCATATCTTTAAACAACCTTTAAAAAACTTGTTATCATGAAACTAGAGTAAATAGCTAGAGCCCGTTCTGGCTCAGTCTCTATCCCTAAGTTTTACTACCGAACTAAAGAAGACAAGCTTGCCGCCGTAACACCTTAGGTTAAAGTGGAATACTACATGTTCTCAGCTGTGTTTTTAAAAGCACTGAAGCTTAGTATCTCACACACAAGCTTGGTTAGGCAGTCATGCAGGTGACCTATTAAGAGAACCCTCTAACTGTGTGAGAAAGTATTAAAATTTTAATTATGAAACAAAATTTCAATTTTGGGAGATAAAAGACCATTGTAGTAGCATCTTTCTTTCTACCTCGACGAAGTGATTTTATTAAATGTTTTTTATAATGTTAAGGACGATCTTGTTGGAAATTCAGTGTGGTTGAACCTCAGTTAGAACTGTTACTTAGCAATGGCGAAAAAAGATAAGTGCGTAAATGTAATTTCTTTATCCTCGAAACACCTATAGTCCACACTTGTTTCACAAGTGTTTGTACTTTTTAATTCTACATCAAACTGGAATTTGTAAAGTGTTTTTGTTTCCTCAGGAGAGGGGGAAAACGAAGTTTCCCCGACATCATGATCAAACTCAACCCATGAATGGCGTTGTCGCAAGAGAGAATGATCTAAGAGCTTAGCTCATTCTCTCTTGCGTTGCCTCGAGCCTGTCGTTGTAACAGCTCTCCTCTCTACGCGTAGTATCCCACGCAGACGTTCGTATTTCCTTCCCTAAACACCCTTGTGTGTGGAGGCTTAGCTCTACGCGCAAATAGATTAAACCATTCCAGTCAGCTCCCCACCGGAATTTAGCTCCCACGTGTTATTCTTGAACTTCATGGGATACAGAGTCATTTGGCACCAGTGAAAACTTTATTCACCCAAAAGTTCAAATTTGATAATATTTTCGAAATCACAAGCTATTCACTTCATCCAAATCGCTCGTATATAGAATAGTTTGCGTAATTGTAGAGCACTGATATATACTTAACCGGCGACCATGCCAATACGTAACCCGCCCCCCCCCCCCCGGGGGAGGGGTACTCTCTTACAAGAGGCTAATGGGCATGTTTCGCTGATGGGGCCGCATTTTCACGACTGGAGTGACTATAATGAGGTTCCATTTTCAAGAGAGTTCAGTACTAGAAAGGGGTCGCAAATTTTCCGATTTGGGGGGTAATTAGGGATTCAAAAATGGGAAAATTCTCGGTTAAAAAATATCAGAAAGTTGTTGTTTATTAAATTTAACAATAAGCTCGCAATGACCGTATTACATTCCGCCGCTTGAAACCACATTGATAAGGTAAATGGTAAATGGTAAATGGTAATAAATACAAAGTGACTAAGTTGGGATCGCGAAAATTACATTTTCCAAAAATTGCCTAAGATGTGGTCTATAATTGGCCAAAATATAGACTATAATGGGGTAGCGGCTCTGAGAGGCCAGCGGCACATACCCAGCAAACATTAACCCAAGTAACCCCCCCAACCCCCGCCCCCGCGTACGTAAGCTACGACCATGTTACATCAGTTCGCTGAGCATAAACAGCCGATAGCAAATTCAACGTAACGGAAGCCTAGTCTGCATACAGACATTGATGTGACACTCAATGAGGTAAAGTGAAATTCCGTGGACCTTTCCTTTGGGAACATCTCTACCTTGATGAAGACGAGTACTACCAACTTAACTAACGTTTAAGTAATTTGTATTTGCACATCATTGTATTACGTTTCGTATTTTCTCTATAGAAAAACACATCACTTTTAACAATTTTTACACTGGCCATTGGTTCTTTATAGAAAACTTCGCACACACTGTATGCCATCTGCATGTTTGAGGCTACTACTCTCATAACAGAACTCCAGCTTAACTGGTATCGTTCTAATGTTTCACAAAAACAAATGTTTTAGGAGCTCATGGTGGCCAACAACAGCATGGACCACATTCAGATCATGATGGGAGATCTCCTCCGAGTGCAGGTGAGTCCCCAGCACCTGTACCTCCAACGGGAAGATATCCTGGCAGCTCACAGTCTGTTACATCCAGAGAACCTGATACGGGCCAAGCTATGTCTTGTAAATAATAAAAAGTCGAAATCGTTAACATTGTCCTCCCCCTGTGCGAATTCGTAATAAACATTGAATGTACCATTAGTGTCACGTCTTTGCCATTAAGTGAAACTTTTGCAGATAAATTCGAGCCGCTGACACCTCCCAAGACTTGTAAATAAGGTTAGGTTGCTGATTACAGTCGCCTAATTTTTCGTGATATCATCGAGATCGAATGCTTGCTTTAATGGGTGACAATCTACCGAGGGCATGGGCGTCGGGTTTATAACGGTGTGATGAGTTTCTCGCCTCCTCTTAGCCCTTCCCCCTTCTTTCTAGGAAGATTTGAAACCAAGATGCCAAGGTAAAAATGATAGCCTAAGTAAATGCAAAAACGGAAAATGAACTCAGGACAGCCACTAACCATCACTAACCGAGAGAGGGAATGGAATAAAAGCTAATAAAGGGCTTCCATTATTAGGTATTAGGGACCTTATGAAACTAGGACGGCAACGGCAACGGCAAGGAAAACGTCAAAAAAGAAACAGGTTTAATGGACAAAACAACAACTCTCAAATGTGAATCACTGACCCTTTTCTGTCAATTTCTTTGCTGTCCCTGCACAACTGCGACTTCATTAGTGAAATGGCCACATTTGAAGTCCTCTTAAGACCATGAACGGTACGGTGATAAATTTTGCTGTATCTGTTTGAGCTCGGAATCAGACGTCTCTCTTCAGCTACAGCTTCACTAATTTCCCAACTTTTAAAAAACTGGGTGAGTTGGAAGGTCTTGGATTAACTGCGAAAAAATCTATAAGGACATTGTGTGAGTTTTTCAGTGAAGCTTACTGTGGCGTCGTCTTTGTAATATTGTAAGGTCCCTATAACTAACTGAATATCCCTATTACAGACGTTTTTCGGTTTGATAATTAAGATAATTAAGTTCAACTATGTCTTGAACCTAAAGGCCCAGCGTGTCCAAGATGTCTGCTGGAGAGAGAATCAGCGCGGTTGACAGTTTCTAGATGGAAAAACGTCACCTCGTTCGTTCCACGCTGTGGACTGGATAACATTTTCAGATGTCACCAGAAGTGGTCAGTAGTTGGATTATCTTGGCAGAGTAACGCTGAAGGACGTGTAATGGAAGAAACAATAACCAAGGGCAAGTTGATGAACTGTTCAGGTAAGATAATCCGGTAACCCCTTGCCATGCAAGCCGGATGAAGCTGATTTACGTAAATAGCTAAGGCAACAAACAATACAGATATGAAACAATATAAACACCCTTTAAAGTAGAGGCGTAGCCAGCTTTTCGTCTAGTCGTAGGCCTGGCCGACTTTCATATCCTGAAAATTGCACGCATGACTAGTATACACTGACCTTGCCAACACTCTGAGCTCGTAAGTTTTTTAGCTCACCCCAACAACGTATAATTTATTACATGCGGTCAGGAGCAAGCGGTAGAGGCGGATCAAACCGAAAATTTGTAGACACCGTCCTACAGGTCTATGGGCTAGCTATACGCCCCTGCCTTAAAATAACAGTAACAGTAAGAGGCTGTGTCACGGTTTTCTAGTCTAGCTCAGTTTGTTGATGCCAATTACGCTTCTTTATTCTATTTATTCCAAGAGAAATGAATATTTTTTGGTAAATTGCAATGAACGGCTTATTCTTGGCAAGCTGCAAATATTACCGAAGTAGAACCACTCAATACGATAAATGTCACGTGATAAAAATAAACATTTTGCTTTTAACAAAGCCAACAAACTATTAGGTGCAGTGAACCAGGACTTGAACGGATCTTGGTATTAAGAAAAAAAAAACTTGAGGAAACTTGACAAATTAAGCCTAATAAATTTAGCGGAATTCAACCCATGTGACACGTTTCTCAAAATTTCCAGAAGAATCAAGAACTGAAGGAGAACGAGAAACCATCATGCAAAGGATTAATAGATTGATCGCAATCTGCATTTATGGTGATGTTGGCAACGAAAGCACGAGTGCTGAAGGCAAAAATCAAGATTTCAGTGATACTGATGACTTCATTAACGCCGACGATGATGATGACGATGATGATGACGATAGTGACATCATGGATGATGGTGATGACGATGGCTCCAACGATGGCAGTGGTATTAGTGACAACGATGATGACAATATTGGTGCTGATGATCGTCACTTTGGACACGAACCTGGACATAGCCACTGTCGTCGTAGACGACGTCATCGCCATAACTTTTCTCAACTGCACTGGATCCAACAACCAGACCTGTACGAAGAGTTTGAATTCAACCCAACTTCAGGTAATGGTCTTTTCGAAACATGTACCAACGAGCAATGACTAAGAGAGAGAAACTATAAAAAGCTATTTTCTCCAGCTCGACATTTAGTCATGTCTTTCTTGGCCTTGCTTAGAATTTTTAGCATAAATTTTGACTCCATCGAAACATGTACCAACGAGCAATGACTAAGAGAGAGAAACTATAAAAAGCTATTTTCTCCAGCTCGACATTTAGTCATGTCTTTCTTGGCCTTGCTTAGAATTTTTAGCATAAATTTTGACTCCATGAATCAATTAAAAGGCTCTAGTAGAAATAACGGTTTTTTAAGCGCGCCATGACTGCGCTTAGTTGCCTTTATCTCCTTTTACATGGGTGATTTTCTCGCGCGATAAGAGCTACAATATTTTGCGCGATTTCAAATCGCCTGTGTAAACTAGCGACAATGTGATTGACATTTCCTAATCTTTAAGTTTACTGTAATCTTTAATGCTTTCCTTGTTTGTCTTACATTATGATCAAGAAGAAGGTCTCCTTATTTCCTTAAAAACTATTTTTATACTAATTGGAACTAGTACGTAGCTTTCCAAAGATAAACGTTTGTCATGGACCTGAGATATAAAAGAGTATGAGATATAAAGAATATGAGCCAAACCTTAATTTCAATACATGCGTATTTATTTATTTTCTTGTATTTATTTACTTAGTTTGTCCAAAAAATCAACCCATGCAGTCAAATTGTAATCCGAACTTCTGTCAGCTTGTAAAATGTGGAGAAGGGGACAGCTGCAGAATCAACCCGTGTGGTACGTGCCGACCAGAGTGTTATGACGCCAAAGGAAACAGAGCAGTATCTCCAAGAGGTCAGCTACTATTGTTTTTATTTTATTTTACTTTATTCTGACAAAGCAAAAGGAGAAAGATTTGCTCCACAATTCACGTCATCCCACGACTTCTACACTGAATTCATCCCACCAGTTACGTGCTTATTCTAATACTTTTATTTTGTGTTTAAATTGAACGGGAGTGTCATTAAGATTCAGCACTGTTTGAATAGCCTGTAGCCCCCGTCGAGCGTGCCTCAGGCTCATCATATTTTCTTCGTGCTCGCCTGAAAAACGCGAAAACTGTTCAACCCCCGGGGGGGGGGACCCCCATGTAAAAGTGACGGGGATGCTCGGCAGAAATTCAAATTAAACCTCTAAGGGAGACCAATGTGGGTGTGGCTCAAGCTCAAACTGACCCTTAAGGAAGATTTCTGTGTGGTCAGTGTCAGGGCAATTTTTGAAAATTTCTTTTCCGCAGTACTAAACGATACCTGAATAGGCAAACTAATATAGTAACTTTCCATCCCAAAAACCGTAAGTGAGACCAAAATCTGCAATTTACACCCCAAAGCGAGACGACGAGCTTCCCCGTCGGTTTATATAGAAGCCCCCCCCCCCCGGCTTTAAACATCCAAAAAAAGTAGCTACAAGAAATTTGATAGCTCGATCGCATCTCAACAATCGGTGAAAAATGAATTGTGCTTTTCTTAGGTTTTTCAGAACAGCATTTCGTGATTAAACTTCATGAGCCTTCCACAATGTTAGTTCAGTATAAACAAAATCCTTGAAATATTCTAGAGCGACTTCCTCTTTCACATTAAACGATCAAAAGCTGACCTCTATTTTTACACGTGTTTCAGCGCTTACAAAGTGCGAACATAAACAACTGGAAATGAAAAACAAGCCTTGTGATAAAATAAAATTTGTGCCGAGGTGCAACAAAGATGGTAGCTTTGCCGAGGTCCAGTGCCTCCCTGCGACAAGGATGTGTTGGTGTGTCGACGAGCACGGTCGAGAGCAGAATGGAACTAGACAGAGAAAAAAGCCAACAACTTGCCAAGTCTCCGGACAAGGTAATTTACCTTCGTTTACAACTATTGTGTGGGCGCAAAAATTTGTTTTGGTCGGCGGGGGGAGCCCTGAAGAATCCTTTCGGTTTTCGCGCCTGCACTCACTTTGAGCAGCGGAAATCCAATGAGACGTACCTCAATGAACCTTCGCGGAGGAGAGAGATTTTGAATATACAGCTATTTCGAGAGAGGTTGTCGGAAAAAATGTGCACGTGAAAATTCCAAAAGGTAATATGGGATATGATCAATACACTGTTCCTGACGCTGTAGCTGTCGAACCCGACTTTTCTTACTTTCCTTTAGCACTCGCAAACATACAACCATGGCCTCTCGTGTCATTCATTCAATTTCTCTGAAAAACAGTTAACTCAAAACCACTCACAATACCTTTCGGGATTGTCGCGTTCACTTTTTTCGACAACCTTTCTCGAAATAGCTGTACCTCCGCGGAGGTTCATTGAGGTACCTGTTATTGTATTTCCGCTGCTCAAAGTGAGTGCAGGCGCGAAAACCGAAAGATTCTTCAGGGCTACCCCGCCGCCTCCTGACAAATTTTTGCGTCCTCAATCACTCTCTTCTTGCCCCGGCCTTTGAGCCTCTGTGGAGTGATTCAAAGTTTAGTATGAACAGCAGTATGAAAATCAGGTGTTTTTAAAAATTGCGCTTGGTTTCCTAGTGCTTCATGCAGTAAGTAGCTAATTAGCTCAGTGCACAAAACTGGCCTTTTTTTTTTTACTGTTCGCAAATCAAATATATCTATCAAACTTTGTCTCTCTTTATTTTCTGTGGATCTAGTTGCTATCAATTTTTTTCTCAGTTCAGTGAATTTAATTAAACTCAACTGCACTTCGCAGCTGTTCATTAGTCGCAGCATACTATGAAGCCTCCAACTCTACTCAAATGAAACAGTTAACTTGTTCAGTTAACTTGTTAGAAGTCTCCCTAGTAACGTATATAGGACATTTAGTACCTTTAGTTCCAAATAGTATCTCTGTTTTCCTCTCTTGTGATTTACTGGTGATTTGAATAATTGCTTATTTTAGTTCTGACGGAATGTCAGTCAGCCCAGCTCAACATTGAAAACATACAGAAACATCTAAACAAGATGGCCTCCAAGTGCAATGCAACAGCAAACAACTTGAAATATGAAGCTAAAAATGCAACTCAGTGGATGCAGGAACGTCCTGCGGCTCACAGGTCGAGAAGTCTGACGATGGAATATCAAACTCTACGTAAGGAAGTCTGGGGCATGTTAGCCAGACGTGCAGAGAAAATGGTAAGAGATTTGACCATGCCGAAATGTGCATCAGACGGAAGTTTCGAAAGTATGCAGTGTGGTTCGTTTGAGAACAAATGTTGGTGCGTGGATGAAAATGGAAGGAAGAGAGGTCCGGTGAAATCAAGGAATAAGTTAAACTGTTCAAGGTCTGAAGGTAAGACGAAAGGTAGAAACTCTTGGAAAAATATCGTTACTTTTAAGAAGTATCATTGGCACATCGCACTTCTCTTAACGACCTTCATGCGCGCCTTTCAAAATTGCATCAAGTTCGTCGCTTTACTAGGAACAGTTTGAGCTTCTCCCGACGCTCCCCCCCTCTTCCGTTTCACATACCCTTGGAATTTAAAAAGGAGTAAGCCTTTTTTATACTCGAGGGTCTACCCTCAGATTCAAAATAAAACAAAGCAAAAACCCTACAGTAACACATGATTTTTATATATACCAATTACGTGTGCCAAAGGAATTTTACGTTTGTTTTTTAAGTTTGCATGGGTGAGTTTTAGAAAGATCTACGTCCTCACGGCGAGTTTCAGTAAAAACTTCGAGTAAATTACTGACATAAATGTCCTTCCATCTATTAGCCAGCCCAATCGATTTTGGGATGCAACTTTCCCTCCAAGTATAAGCCTAGATGATTTTTGTAAAGCAAATTTCCGTGCGTATATATTCAGCCCTTCCAAAAATTAAAGCCCCTCAAAAAGGGCCAATGAAAAATATAAGCCTAGGGGCTTATTTTCGGAATTTTACTGTAATTTATGAACTGGTTCTGATTCTAATAAATGTTCAAATCCAATCTCAAAAAAGGGGATCAAAATTATTATATATTGTTGGTAAAAAATTCGACACGACTTCAGTTGGGATGAGCTTGCAAAGACTTTTCTCCAATAGAACGTTACAATAGGGAATGCTTTTTTCCTGTATCTATTTTTTTTCTATACAGGACAATCAAGCCCTTGCAGAAACAATCGTGATTGTCCACACTCAAAAGTATGCTGTAAAACCAGGCGTGGTAGAGGAGAGTGTGTGGACATACGTTCAAGAGGGCGAGAAGGTAAAGTTATTGAGTTAACAATCAAATTAGCTGTTTCACGAATAGACGGGTCAAATTTTCCACGGATTGTTTTACAAAATAGCGTCAGGTAAAGAACCGGAAAGTCAAAATTATGTCTTTAATTGGCCAAATTAGTTCCGCTCACGTGCAAGTGTTTTAGATTCGAGGAAGAGAACAACAACGTAGACGAGATTTGACTTTTTTTCGCGTATTCTTAACGACCGTAAAGGTTTACTGTCCTTTTTTTACCAGAAAATTCAGCACGGTTATTTTTGTTGAGGGAGTTTAAGCCTTCTCCCGATGGCATAATGATAAGCCTTCTAACGTCTCGCATTGCGATACTCTCCGCCAAAACCCGTTTTCCCGCCAAAATGACGCTCTTGTTCAGCGCGCGTTCTTCTTAGTATTAAGAAAATCTTGTCCTCTTGAAGTCGTCTTATTGTCTTAGAATATTAAGTTCTCTATTATAAAGATATCACTGAAGGAAGATTCTTTTTAAAGTAAAATCAGGAAAATGTCCTTCCATACCACCCTCCGTCAACTTCACCTGCGGATCCCAGTGCAAGTCTGATACAGACTGCAGAGGAAATAAGAAGTGCTGTAGACTTGGATGCGGAAACCGATGCCTACCTCCTAACATGCCAGGTAAAAGTCAACGTGTTCGTAAACATAATTTTAAAGATCCCATAGAAAAATAAATCTACCGGAAAAACATTTCCCCGAAACCTCTTAGTCTTCTTCAACAGATTTTGTAACAGATTATTGATAACCTGACCTTGTAAATGGCGGTTTCGGTTGGAGTTGGCGAGCGGCAAAGCCACGAGAAGAAGTAGGTGGGAAAAGAAGGGAAATTGAAAAGGAATATGATTACAATGAATTAAAGTGTTCTTTTTGCAAAATTAGCATTCCGTGAATTCGCAAACGACGTCTCGGTCCACCTTTAGCTTTATATACAGTACACAATTCCCCAAAATTATTTTACTTACATTCGTTTCATTTTTTTCTAATAACAGTGTGTCCAAGGGAAAAGCCATTCAAGATGTGTATCTACGACAAATGTCTGTCGTCCCCAGGTTGCGCGAGCCATCCCTCAGCCCAATGCCGTATGAATTACTGCGGGGAATGCACTGCCGAATATTTTGATGAAAATGGCCGTAAAGTAGACTGCACTAACGGTAAGATAAAAAATAGTGGAGAGTGCTCTAAGCGTATCACGCTAGTTTTTAGGTACTCCACTCAAAAACGTAGGAACAAATAATTCAGATATAACATAACTGTATTAAAGACCCCAACTGGCAGGCGGCAAGGGCCTTGGCTAATTATATTTACAAGCGTGGTCGAAGTTTTGAACTCGGGATGGCCGAGAACACAGCCCCTCCCTCTCAAATACGTCCCCCGTCTCTATTACCCCCCCCCCGCCTTCTAAACGTGTTTGAAATAAATAGAGAATGTACGGTATTCTCAAAGGAACATAATTTCAACCAAAATTAAAGCATTACTACGGTATTAAATCAAATTCTCTTAGACACGTGAATGATCATATGAATATACTTAACATCCGCTTCTCAAATTCACTTACAGCAACCAAGTGTCAAAACCAGAGATATGAAGCGATTGAAAGGTATAAGAGAAAGTTTCTTCAGGTCTTCAACACTTTCCCATCACACCTCCCAGGAGCTTTACACAACACGTCTAGAAATAGCGAAGGAAACATAGAAAGTCAAGGTGAGACTAGGGGCGGAGGCCACAGTGAAGCGCAGCGCAGAGGGCAAGGCAGTAGATCTTATGACAGTCAGCATAAAGGACGTCGTAGCGGCGGCGATCGCGCTGGAGGAAGTGAAAGAAATGGTCAAAGGAGACAGGCTGGAGCCCAGTGGAGAGGAATGAGAGGGCAAAGAGAGGGGAACTATTCTGCAGAGAGAAACCGTAATGGTGGCCCACAAAGAAATCGGGAAAGGTATTGGCTTAAGTACAGTCCAGACAACAACTAGTTTTCTTCATTCCCTTATTAATGATAAACTGAAAGGATTTTATCATTTTATGATGTTTTTCTTTACTTTCCACTTCTTATTATTACTATTCTATACCACTTTTCAAAAATCGTCATTGTCCTTTAATTCCATAGTATAACTGTATGTTTAATATCTCCGTGTATACGAATTATCATGATCGTTTCACCATTTTTTTAGCATCTCATTTTACAATTTATTTTTTAATTGCTCCTACAGCCAACGGACACATCTTGGCATCTTCATACCCGAGTGTCATCCAGAAGATGGATCCTTCCTTTCCGAGCAGTGTAACGTCACTTCCGGTGAATGCTGGTGTGTGGACAATAATGGCGATGAGAAACCTAATACGCGTGCGCAAGTTCAGAGGGCAACAAGGAATTGTAGTGATGCAAGTAAAGGTGATGCCAATCTGAATCGTATGTTTTTGAAATGACCTCCTTTGGTCTATACCTGTTTCCAAACATTGCCTATAGTTTAATTCCCTAATTCAATTAATTGTGATACACTGTACCAACTTTTTGTAACCCAGGTAAGCGTCCAGTAGAGATCAAAGCTCATGGAGAAAAGAAACGGTAAGGTCTCGTAAAAGGAGATAGATTCCTCTAGGCTTTAAAATGCAGAAGAATTTTTATTTTTGGTGTATTTTTCTTAACTTGCGTTCGTTTTAATTTTTGATTATTCCGCCTTACTTTACAGCGTGGCAAGATTATCGTTTAGCTTAACAGGGAACTTTGATGATTTGAAAGGGAAAGAGGAGCAGTTTATCGAGTAAGCAAATTTCTGACTTAACCAACGTTCAATACGTTTGTCTTGATGGGAAGTAAAACAGGTTCTTACATAAATGATAATTAGCACAAATTTAAGCTATTCATTAGGTTCTTAAAAAGGTTGTTATTTTCTGAAGAAAAAAAAATACATTATAACCAAGAGTATTTACTTGTATTCAGCTCATTCCTCATGTAAAACCTGCATAACATTACATGGAAGTTGGAGTGATAAAGCGCCTATCCCTCCAAAGATTAGAGGATCCTGAATGTTAACTTCTCTTTTTTGCCCAAGTATATGCAGAATATTTTTTGATAGATTTTAGAAAATAACAACCCGTTTCAATTTTAGGGTAAACACTTCTTGTATAGAGGGGGCGTACTAACTGGCAAATTTTATCCTAACACGTTCTTAAAAAACAGGTTTTTACCGGGCGCGGGTTTTTACTGTATTAAAGTTATATACTTTTTCTCAATCATTAGCTACCTGAAAGAAGAAGTCGCCATTGTAGGTGACTTCAAGAAGGAGAACATTCGAAATGTGAAGGTAAATCCTTTCTATCCGTACTTACTTTGTATTGTAAAGGATATAATTTAACCGAATGGGATTAGTCTAAGGCCTAGGCCAAACGTTAAACTTTTCATGAGACGAACCAAACTCTAATTTCGGACGACATAAATTAAGTTAAGATCGTCTGTTGGGTCAGACGTCGAACTTCAGAGGACGCGTGGAACCAATCAGCTGAATCAGATCAGTAATAAATTTTCTCTCGAAAGAGGCTAAATATACATTATCATACAAATTTTCCATTTGTTAGTTTAGTTCATGGCATTTGAGGATCGGCGTTTGTCCCAGAGACGATCTTCAGACGTTCTATCCGTCTGCTTCAAACGGAAAGAACGTGTTGGACGATCCAAACTCATTCAGACGAACTTAACTGAACCAGAAATCGAACTCAGTTTCATGAATTTAACTCACTAAGTTTGGTTCGTCTCATGAAAAGTTTGACGTATGGCCCAGGCCTCAGTCTAAACATGTGATTTTTAACACTTTTCGGCAAACAGTATAAACGACTTAGTTTGTCCTTGCCAAACTGAAAATCTTAACAAAAAGTAACTGCGTTAAAATTGCGGAAATTGTTACGTGGCTTCAAATGTCTTTTCACTTCTTTGTTAATCACCCCGAACAAATATAATTGTAAATATAATTTTAGCCTTGTAGCAATTCCCCAAAACCTTTTGCTTCATGGAAATGGAACCGTACACTGGCATGAAGAAAGTTGACCTTACCGAAAGTCAACCTCTTACCCAGAGTTCCCCAGGTTACCAAACACTTAACAG